CCTGATAGGACATGGTTTTACTCTTACAAGCGGCACGATTAACGTCAATTTATTCTCCTACTCAAAATGGCAGCGGCGGCTGCAGAGTGCCGCCCCGTGTAACCCACCCGTCCATACCTAAGCGTGTGGTTACCTGTAGAGCTAAGTGCTGTCGGCACAGTTATATTCCTCAACGATTGATGCGAAAAGCGATGATTATCAAGTAGAAGAAGAAGATGTTGGTTGATTGATGACTAATTGAGTCGCAGATGATCTCTAATCAGTGGTCTAGATCGAAGAAGAAGAGCGAAACCACTATTTCTCTGTCCCACGAAAGTCGAAATTGCGCTTTATCCTTGGTTCTACCTCAGCGTTTTGACCATAAGAGACCTGATCATAGAGCTTAGAGGCAGGCGCTAACGCCTGATTTTTTCTGCTTATTATCTGTGAGAACTGAAGGAGACACAACGCTTAGTAATTTTAGTCCTCCGTAGTTTTGTTTTCGTAATTCTATAAAAAAACCCATCGAAATTTTAGGATGGGTTGCTATTGCCAATGTTAGCTTGGTGGACCAATTACAGCCTGTGGAAAGGCCTGATAAGCGAGATATCTCGCTTCAAAGTCTACGAGGTTTTCTAATCAAGTGTGCTATCAGTGGACAAAAATCGAATTTTGCCCTAACCAACGTCAAATGACCAATGGGATTCGTTGTGTGGTATACTTTCGTGGGACAGAGAAGTATAGAAATAGTGACAAAATAGAAACCACAGGTGGAGAGGATCAGCAACGAAGCACCTTCGTATAAAAATGGAATTTTCTTCAAGCTTACCAATAAACAATTTGTGCGAAGCTGTGACAATGTTTACTGTGCTCTTCTGACCTAACATGATTTGAGATTTGAGGTTGAACAATTATTACCTCGTTACACTGGTATCATGATACGTTCTCCCAAGTGGATGGTTATATCAAATGGATGAATTAGTTTGTTCAGGAGTACACTAATCCAAATTTAAGACCAGGATTATACCATAAATGCCAGAGTGTGCTGAACTAGGCTGCAATGCCCGGACGATTTCTAATCCATTAGAAGTGTTCGACTCCAATTTTGTTTGTGGTAACCACAGCTCCGTTCTGCGTCGCGTTGACAAGAGCATACACTGTAACAAGGGTTACATAAGGTTAGTAAAGTTTAACCTGGAGTACAAAATACAATCGCAACAAGGTTCGAGCTAGCAACAGCTGCATTGCATAGATGAGTGTAGTAGAGCAATAGCAACCAAGCAAGTTGAGCCAGTCTCGCCTCGCATACTGTGGCTGTATCCGCGTTGTCATCCGGACCCGATCATAAACTAATATTTCTATAACCTCGGACCCCTGCGACATATTCAAAATATGAGAAAATGTCGACTTACATAGTAACTCGGCCATCCTCTATTATAGATTAAATCTACCCCTGATTGCGATATAACTTGACCATCAGATTACTATCGTAGGACAGCACGCAGGTGAATCTAAATGCAGGTCATCTAGCACAGATTACCCAATCACAATTACTTCGAGCTTATCCTGCTGTAGTAGCGCGCAGCGCGAGCGTCATGCCTTAGTCACATTGAAGCTGCCGCTTGTCGTGACTTCATCTTCTCCGCTATTGACTCAGGCTTTTCTCAGAGATGAATAGGGCATGTGCATGTAGTGTAACATATACACACCCCAGTCCAACGAATTAGATTGGAGGGGGTTTGTCTTGTACGATAACCGTGTTGGTTCCACACAGCATGCTTTTACATAAAGCATAGAGAAACCTAACGGGGGGACGCTGGCGATAAGCAAAAAAAAACTTCTTCATCAGCGAAATCGTGACGGCGGCGGAAGCTACTCTCTTCGGTGAAATGGCCCTGGAGGACGACGGATCCTTTGTGGCGAATGCAATCCATTTCCCATTTATAAAAGAAAGGTGCTATGATGACCAAGTGCTCGCTTCATGCCGAGTAAGAGTACATCTGCATCGTGGGTTTCAAGAAGAATCCCTTTGAACAGAGTATACCACGGCGTCTTGTCATGGAGGACGCGGGGTAGGGGTACGTAGAGTGCAAGGCGGTTGTTACTCATATCTACGACATCGTGTGTGACTTCTACAAATTGAAGTTCTTCAATTGTTGCCGGCACGCACCATTGAGTCGCATCATGACCCGATCAAGCTCGACAGCGCTTTTTGTGCTCACTGAGGTACCCGGCTGCCCAAAAAGGGTCGCATAGATATGCTATGTTTTTTTGCGTTCTGATTTAGATATATACTATTGGCAACGGATTTTTATTGATATGACGTCCCTATGTCGATGGCACTCGACATGGTCAAGGTACATAAAATGACAAACACCTAGTACTTTCTCGACGGATGAATGCACTACGCTACTCAGATTCACTACATTACCCCATGATTTACCGGACTGAGCTCCTCCATGGACAGTAGGGTAATGGCATTACTGGTGAATCTTCATCATTCCATCTCTTTACCACCTCGATCATCAAAATGTCACCACAGGCAGTCCATCAAAGCTCTAGCTGATGGGCCACTGTTGACCTTAGTTAATAACCCTTTAATTGGCGCCTTTCGCATTGCATACAGTCATAGCCACCACTCTATGGGATTTAACCAAAGCCAACCGTATAACCTTGCTATCATTGTAATGATGCTAGTTTTGATGACGGTACCAACCGATGTGTCATTCAAAGTATTTGGTCTGTTTATCAAATGCAGCCATTTGTGCCAGTGCGAGTCGACTCCCCCAACTCTTTTAATGCTAATTCCCGGTTTTGATCTAATCACCTTAATCGCTTATTCGATTACCAACTTCGTCAGATTCATCAACTTTGAATTGTACGTACTATGACCGGTTTATGTTAATTTAGTATCGACGGACCTCCATTGACAGAAATCTGTTCACCATTGTGCGCTGCGTTCACGGTAATGATCTCCGCCATCCTTACGCAGTAAGAACAGCCTCTCAAAGAGCTGCGAGTCTGCTCGTCCTAAACAAATACTCCGTGTAGATGATCTCCACGTGCACCAGAACGTTACTCTACAACCGGAGATATGCGCTCGAAAGCCCCAATTGCTCCTAGTACTATAGCAGTTTAGCTTTGATGAATAAATATAGTTGGCGTGACTAGCTTCGACGAGTGAACCCCAGCTGTACAAATATTTTTATGGCCTTCACGATTGCAGTTTGTCCATATGAAACTTGACTCCAAAATCATGTCTGCTTAAATCTTTGTTTCACCCTATCAAACAGTGTGATCGGGAAGGTGTTGTATTTTGGTGGTGAAATCGTTCGAAGTGCATATTTTCATGGCTGTACTAGAGACTACTGATTAGTCGTCGGATATGCTGGTGTCGTGCAGCTTCGATTTCATATAGCAAACAGTATCCGTGAACAAGTTGAACGTGGGCGACCGCATAACAATCACACCTGGACCGTCGGTAGGGAGTCCGAAAACTTGCTCATCAACACCATAAACAGAAGCGGTTATCAGGTGATTGTTCACGGCCATTTTCTCAGTGGCGTATTTATCAAACATCACCTGTACTGGCACAACGAAATTTATCGAAATATCTTTCATTGGACTGTTGTTTTACCTGAACTGACGCGAAAAACGTTAGCGAAGCAACAGGCTTAAGCAGTACTTTTTTCCTTTGCGTACAGCATGCCCCTCACTGTCGCAATGGTCACAAAACCGGTGGAGACACCAGAGCTTTTTTCGCCCAACGAAATTAGCGACCCATGAAAGTGAATGCCTTTGCGTATTGAGTGATGCGGTTGTTCAGATTGGAGCACTGGCCGATTTCGCGTGACCCAAATGGCTCTCAGATGAATCGTTTGTAGCTGCAGTATTGCACATTACAGACGCGCGCACCGATTAGGGTTATAGTGCTGGAAATTAAGTGGGTTTCAGAAGGTAATTACCCATTCCAAATCAATGCATCTTTACAATAGTACGTATATCGTTCGATGTGCTAGTTGTTTTTTACCACGGCAGCTAATCGAACCGAGTAATAGAAGATAGTCCATACGAAAAATCAGAACGGGATAAATGTTAACATACCGAGCCATCAATCAGATCATAGCTGGTATCAATCTCTGGGGATGGAGGGTTTCGCGCAGATGTCTGTAAGCACCACGGTCATAGTTTTACTAGTCACTTGAGTTAATCTGCTTTTAGAGGGGACGAGTCAAAAGGATTTAGCACCCGCTCCAAGCTATGACCGACCAAACAAGACGAGGTAAGTTCAGGTGACCGTTGTAGCAGAAGTAAGCATATAGCCTCCTTCCACGGGATCGAAATCTACTGGTAACCGCTTTTAGAAACCGTCTCCAAGGGTGCAATATGCCCCCTATATCTGTGAAATGGTTAATTACCGCAAAGATCGAAGAACACAGCTGCGAAGAACTTGTGTATACACTTGCACATTCGTTACAAATGCACGGCGAATGCCACTTTCTTGTCGCTCCATGGTCCACTGGGTTAGAGACGCCCGCACTCGAGTTTCTTCGTAAGTGATTAGACCTCGAAAACGTCCCAATGTCTAACTTGTTATGTCGACGGTGTTTAGTTGCGCGTTCTCGAAATTCTACTTCTTGCTGCTTCTAACGGCTTTACAACCAGCAATCCAGGTGCCGGCCTAAGATAAGCGGAAAGAAGGGAGACGTGGAGTACTGCTACATACTATACAGCATAGTTACTTCTCGACGAACGGCTTTGAGGGTATTTTTGTATCGGATCATCAGCTTCCAGATGTAGCTGGTATAAGGTGCCACTGGGTGAAGGTGGAAATATGGACAGCCTCCCTACATCTGTGTATATATATGGAACATTCCACAAGTGTATACGATATTGCATGTATCAGAAGGTTCTCATGGCAAACGCCCTAGTCTTCAAAGAGCCGTCTGCAAGCCTTGCGTTAGCTGTTTCAACTTAATCCATTCAGTCTTGCTGTCTGGGAAGGGCTTTGCGGGCACGCCATGGTAACGCTCTCAACGACAGTGAGCTCAGCAGCGCTGGCGCTGGGTCAGCGCTAAAAGGCCAGGAGAAGAGTAAGCTCGGCACTGCAGCCAAGATCTTAGAGCAAATACAGCGGCAGCTCGCAATGAGAGTCAAGGTTCTGTTGTCGAGTTCGGCGTGAAGCCGGTGAGCAGAGGGTGCGAGGCCGCGGATGCCGGGTTGAAGAAGGCCGCGAGGGCCAAGCTGAAGATAAGGAAGAAGCCCCTGGGAACAAGGCGTCGGAAGCAGTTCTCAGAGATGCTTCGGGCGGCCATGGTCGAAATCAGTGGCCGCCGCGAGTAGTGATGCATCGTGCAGCTCGCGCAGTACCAGTGGACCGTCGGCGAGTGCGCCAAGGGAGCATCTTGCAACGCTACGGCAGACCGTTTTCATGGCATTGTAGCGAGGCCCCATAGTGACATCGGTTCAGCCGCAGACACGCAGACTGTAGCACAGATCCTGACAGAGCTTGCCGGCTGTGTGCACAATGGAGCCGAGTATCACGTAGAAGCGGAGCTGTCAGCTAGTAGGATAGACCAGGCATATACTGTACGAAAGACCAGACTACTGCAGGGCCACGTGCGGAGCACAAGTACGTTCTGCCATCGAACTGGCCACGGTTACCGAAGACTTGGCTACTACCACTCGCGCCATCGAACAGTCGCCAGATGATGACATCTATTACCCGATGTACGGCAAGTACTACAGCACCAAGCAAGTGACTGTTACAACTGACTATGCAACCACGACTAGGTTCGGGTCAACGACCGCCGTAATTCTCCTCGTGGTCCAGAGTACCGTGTTCTCTGGCTCAGCAGTCTGCTCGTTAACCGACAATGTTATCAGCACACTCAGGAGCCTCATCAGCAACTACTGGATGATGGGTTCGCTAACGAGTAGGATCTCGTGGGTCACTTGAAGGCACCCGACAAGGAGACATTCAAAGACTTCTGCCCAAAGGATGAGTTTGGCAAGCGGCCCATTGGTACTGATCCTCGAGGCCTGTGCTTTTTCTATGCATTGAAGGGCGCAACCTAGCTTGCTGGACGCGCGGACATCGTCACGCAAGATGATAATGACACACTTTTGTTGCTGATGAACTCCGAGAGCATGGAGTTGGTCTCACACGAGGTACATCATGGAAGGTGGTGCTGCGCTTCATTCATGGGCTTAGGATTTTATCTACTTTTATTTTATTTTTAAGGACCGTCGGCAAAGACTACTTTAACATTGCTGGACGGTGTCGAGCACATGTACTGGAAGAAGTGCCGCTCTACTACGGACTTTACTTAGTTGTTTCGTACATCACAGTGTAGTTGGGCTGGCGCTCGTGCTGAGCATCTAAGGGAAGAGGGACAAGGTTCGGCACATCAGCGACTTGAAAGAGACTAAGCCGGTGTCGTCGGCGATGGGCTAGATTATCCTCGTGGTCACTTCTAGACTCTTTATTTTCTTTAAGAAAAAATGGAATCTGTACGGGAACTATGGTTAGTGCCCTACCCTCAATTTCACAGCTTCTTCGTACAACGCGAATTTTTTTCTCGTAATTATAGTGATGAATTATTGCTTTGCGGCACAGCTACGGTGGCGATGGGTTACTTACCTCACATAAAGCATTTAGCTATTCCAGCCGACGCATAGCTCTCGTTAAGTGTCAAGGGATTTCATCGTGAGCTCTCTGAAGTGATGCTTGTCTAAAGCTTTCGTAAAGATATCAGTACCATACGTTTGGTATTGCAGTAAGCGACGGAGATCTCGTGTCGCTCGACTTTTTCCTGCTCAAAACAGTACCGAACAGGTATATGCTTCGACCTCCCGTGTAGTTCGAGGTTATAGCATATCATAATGCAGCTTTGGCTGCCCTCGTGAATAACATTGGCTTGCGCTGTGGCAAAACGGAATGCTTTAAGGAGGAGTTTAAGGAAAATCGTCTCTTGCGTGCAGTGGCACAGTGCGATATACCGTGCCTCTGTTGTTGCGAGGACCACAGTGTGGTGTTTGCGTAAAAACCACGAGATTGGACTGCCCACAAGCATACTAACATATCCACCGACCACCCGACTCGTGTTGGGGCAGGTGCCATAGTCAGAGCCACTGTAAGCTGTTAGCTTGTCGACAAGGTTTTAGGGTGTGACATCGAGAGATCCACCAAAATGTAGACCGTAATTTTTCGTCGCTAATAGATACTTCAAACCTCTAGCTATTGCATTCTAGTGCTCCATTCCCGGATGAGCTAGGAATTGGCTGAACTCACGCATATATAATGCTGTGTCTGGTCTAGTGCCTACGATGAGATACATGATACTACCAACGGCATACGGGATATCTTTCGTCGTCTCTTTCTCTGCCTCTCTACTAGGCGAGTTGCTTACGAAGGGCTTAGCATTCTGCTCTACTGGGATTGCAATAGAGTCGCTGAAGCGGTAAAAGACCTTCGTAGCGTACTTGAGCTGGTGGGTAAATATCGTTCGGTTCTTGGGGGCCACGTTGAATTGACCAACCGAGTAAGTATTTCGCCTCCCTTAAACCTGTCATGGAGAACCGCTTTTTCAGGGCGGATTTCATCTCGTTTACGATGAGGTTTAGGCACAATGATCAGGAGGTCGTCAACTTACACGATAATGTTCAACCGCGCATTTAAATACACACCTGTCCTTAATGCGTCTGTGACATCCTAAGGGTTCAAGGAAGGCAGATAATGTTTTGTACCATACATGGGGAGCTTGTTTCAACACGTACAGGGTCTTTAGGAGCTTGCACACAAGGTGCTCCTTACGGGGGACTTTGAAAGTTTCCCGCTGAGCGATGTAGGTCTCCTCTAGCCAATCGTTTTGAATGGTTGTTTTACGTTCATTTGGTGTACCCCAAGATCGACCAACGCTGTAACGGTGAGAAGGAGGCTAAGTATTTCCATCCTGATAACAGGTGGGGAAATATCGTTGTAATCAATGTCATGTTCCTGAAGGAATCCTTTGATCACTAGGTGCGCTTTGAAGAGGTCAATTTTGCCTGCCCCGGTATATTTCACTTCAAATCTCACCGGCAGGTAAAGATTCCTTCCTCTCGGAGGGGGTACCAGAACCCAAGTTCGATTGTCCACGGGGGAGTTATATTCCGCTTCAGCTGGTTTACGCCACTGATTAGCGTGAGCGCGTGCCTGTCCGCTCAATATGTGGTGGGCTCGGTTTCACACCGAATAGCTAGCAATGTGTAGAGAGCCGTTTTCTTCGCTACTCTTGCTCCTGTATATCTTCCTCAGAATTGAGTGTAACGTCCGCGACATCGGTCGTGCCACGGGATCGCTTAGGAGCAGGAGCGGTGGAGGTTCAGATAACGTCTCTGTCCGAAACGAGTAATGTTTCTGCTTTCTGTCAAGCGCTTCCCAAAGGTGGTAGAGGATGTTTAGTTGTGAGTGATGTCGTTGCAGGTACAATATTCAATCAGTTCCGTGTGGACATGCTGATCTGTCTCGATCGCAGGTTGTTCAGGTCTATCCGTCAGGCTAGCCAGGGAATGATATTTATCGGGAAACTACTCTATTCGAATAGAAGGGTGAGTGGTGCCGCTTCACTAGCGTGCATTTCATACAGAAGAACGGTTTAGTTGGATGTAGAGACGCAGTGTCGTCGAGCCCACGGATAGATCATGCAAGATGCGTACGTTAGGACGGCCAAGACGAAGTCTCCGGGCTACCGAATGACAGCAGTCTTATCTGTTCCATTCTATGCCCAAGTGCGGTTGATCCATGTGCTCTTGGAAAAGCTCGTTATTTAGGTTGTGGGCCTGTCCGAGGCCTGTTGCTCTAATATTCGGTAGGCGAAGTTCAAACGCTTTAAACTTTATGTTAATCAACGATTTGGAAATGCTTTCTTTGTGTTAAGAAAAAGCAATGAAACGAAAGTAAATGCTCGAAAATCTTGTTTTGCATGATATCTGTTAACCATTCTTTCTGTGAGGTACGGTAGTTCCATCTTTTTGTTCCGGAAAATGTACAGTCCATGTTTTCGGATTGGAGGGGGGTGAAATGACCCGCAAATCTATCACAATGCACATCCCAAATCGACATCAGTGGCTTTGAGAAGCATGAACAACCCGCAAACGTAGCCCCAAAGCAACCCTTAGGTCTATAGTCCCCTGACTAGCGCTGGGTCAGCTTTCTAAGGGTTTTAAGGACCGGTAGAGCTACATTTAGCAGCTCGGCTACCCTGCTCCCATAGAGTTTGCAATAGGTTTGAGAGCCATGGCACCCGTCCTGAAAACCGAAACATCCAGCCTTTTCGTTTCACATAAGTAACATGTATTGTGCCTTTCGGTCATTTTGCCGAGTCCTACGTAGGACTTTGGAGGTCAGTTAATCTGAGGTTGGCGGTCTCTAAATCTGAGATGCAAATCTCGGACGAGTCCGATGAGCGGTCTCCCGGAGTCTCTTCGTTCAATGGACTCCGGTTGGAGTCCAAGCCAAGCAAGCTTTGTTTAGGGAAGCAAGCAATGCCGGAACCCGCGAAGGCGAAGGGCGAAGACTGGAGTGTTTAACGTATCGACTGCATCGTGTTTCCCTAAGTTTATTCTGCGTTTGACATACGCCGCATTAGAGTCAGTTCGTATAAAAGTGCTGCCACAAGACTTGGCAGGAGTCCTTCGTAAGACCTCAAACCCCGAATGCCGTGAAAATGGGCGACATTCGGGCTTTCGGCTGTTTGTAGGACCTGCGCAAGTGCTTCCATCGGACTAGCAATTCTTGGTCCTAATTCCCTACGAGGGACCTGCTAATCTGCTCCGATAACCTAGCCCCATCTTAGTAGGCACTGTAGCTGTTTTACACGTCTGATACGCCAAAACAACTGAAAAGCACAATAAGTTCCAATGCGACCGAATCTTGAAGTTACCTTCGCGTCACCTTAAAATACATGTTCTACTATCAACCTTCGCGCAACATTTCGGGCTTAGCCGCCAGCAGCTCCAAAAGAGCTCAATTACTGCTTCGCGCGTACGTCGCCCGCCATGTTCTTCCTCAAGCAGCTCTCGCGCGACCTGCTGCTGCACCCGATGCACTTCGGGCCCAAGCTGCACGATATCATCCGGCTGCGCCTGATCGAGGAGGTGGAGGGCACGTCCATGGGCAAGTACGGCTACGTCATCACGGTCACGGAGGTGCGCGACGAGGACATCGGCAAGGGCGTGATCCAGGACAACTCGGGCTTCGTGTGCTTCAACATCCGCTACCGCGCCATCCTCTTCCGCCCCTTCAAGAACCAGGTGCTGGACGCCGTCGTGACGGTCGTGAACCAGCTCGGCTTCTTCGCGGACGTGGGCCCGCTGCAGGTCTTCGTGTCGAGGCACGCCATGCCCACGGACCTCAACAACGGCTACGACCACGAGAGCAACGCCTGGATCTCGGACGACCGGGAGGTCGAGATCCGCAAGGGCTGCGGCGTGCGGCTCAAGATCATGGGCGTCAGCGTCGACGTCACCGAGATCGTAAGGCTGTCCGTGGTTGGAAATGGTTGACTGGCTGGTTGGCTAACAGTTGTGTATTGCTGTCGCTGTAGAATGCTATCGGAACCATCAAGGATGATTATTTAGGCCTCATCTCGTCCGATAACTAGACTGCGAGCAGACTCGACGCGGCGTACTTGACGGTTTAGTTGCCACCCCACAACGTAGTGCTCCCCCTTTTGGATTGATACGACTACATCTCTTGATGCCGATGCATGATTCGTTCGTGTCTAGTGCTAGCTCTAACTGGCGGACTGCTCATTGATAAGGTGTTCTATAGCTCCAGGAACCGCGTAGACTTGCGGTGCTCCGTCTCCAGGATCGGCTTGACGTCTTCCAGGTCCACGTCCTCGATCTCGAAGTTGTGCGCCAGCTCCGCGTGCAGCTCGCTCTCGAACCTCTCGCGGTTGGAACACTCCTGCCTCAGCACGTCCTTCAGCGGGCACAGGAACTCCAGATGGCTACGCTGCTGGCGGTACTTGGGCTGGCGCGCCGGGTTGGTCAGGTACTCCATGTTCTTCGGGTCGAAGTCCCAGAGGAACGACGTGTGGTGCAGCCAGCGGCCCTTGGACAGACTCTGCGCGTTGCCGCCGAACTTGCGGTCGTCGAACACGTAGTCGTCCTCCCGCAGCGAGAACTTCTGCAAATGGCACCAGCAACAACGAGTAAGTACAGCGCCTTGCAACCACAGAGCAGAGCAGCAATACGCCCGTACGCACCAGGTGCTCGTGGCAGACGCGCGAGAAGAAGGGCGAGAAGAAGCCTTCGGACCAGGCCATGATCTCGCGCGGGTACGGCCGCACGTGCGGGAAGTCCTCCTGCCTGCAGATGAAGGTGGTGAAGACCGTGTTGTGGTCCACGATGACGGTGCCGCCGCCGCTGAAGCGCTTGAGCACGGGGATGCCGTCGCGCTTGACCGCATCCTGGTGCAGCAGCTGCTCCGGCTTGCCCGAGATGCCCATGACGATGGTGGGCGACGGGTGCGCGTCGTTGTAGATGAACCAGTTGCGCTGCGACTCGGCGCGGAACAGCGCCTCCTCGATGAGGAGCTGCTCCTGGATGGGCGCGCGCAGCCGCAGGAAGCTCATCAGAGGCTTGCGCACCGCTGCCTTGGTCGCCATGGCTGTCTGTCTGTGTGCCTATTCGCTCACTGACGTCGCTTTACTGGGTAAGTCGGCGGCGCGTATCTCGTGTGCACGACACAATATTGACTCAGATCTGATTCCACACGACAATCACTCTTGGGTACACGGTACCACTGATCCGCAGATCGACACGTTGACGAAGATGGCGACGCAGCCGCTGCTGCTGGCGGCTCGCGAGCTCGCGCGCGGCCCCACGGCGTCGCTGCCTGACAACTTCGAGGTCGCCGCTACTGCCGCGTCTTCTGCTCACCTGGCGGTGCTATTCCGGTCGCGAACGGAGCGGAACTGCGTGCGTTTGGGCGTGTTCAAGACGGACGACCAGGCGGACGCCGAGGAGCCCGAACTGGTCGATTTACTGCCGGAAGCCGGCGACTCCGAGGCTTCTACGGTCGGTGACTGCGCGTGGACGCTTGCATGGAGTCCGGACCTCAAGTTTCTGGTCGTGAGCGGCCGAATCCCGCGCGCAGAGGGCGAATCCGAGGGCGTCCTGTGGCTATTCGCCCGCCCCGAGTGGTTGGCTTCTACCGCGGCGTCTGAGGCCTCACAGGGCCCTCCACTGCTACTACGTGTAGACCCAGCCAAGTACCTGGCTGTCAAGCACTGGGACCCGTCCACGAGCATCGTGACCGTGTTCTTCCCCACGCAGAGCGGGAGCAGAGTGTTCGTGCTGTCTGCAGACGGCGTTTGGCTCAGTGTGGGCGTGCAACTGGCCAAGTTGGCGCTGGTGGCGATGGAACAGACAGCGTCGGAAGACACGGCGGGGCTTTTCACGATGAAAGTGGTCAAGAGGCTGACGGAGTGGCATGCGGGCGTCACGGCCGCGAGTTATGAGCTGCAGAGCGCCACGCTTGTGGTGACGGGAGGGGTAAGAGACCCCAGCGCGGACTTGGTCGAGAACCAGGCGTCGTCTTTGAGTGTCTGGAGAGTGGCCAGTGACAAGGACAGCACGGAAGTCGCGGAGCTGCTGGACTTTACGATGGTGGAGAAGGGGAAGGTGGAGTACGTAGACGAGGAGGCGAGTGAAGGACAAGAAGGGGAAGAGGATGAAGAGGAGGAATCGGACACTGAGGAAGGTGGTGGCCTATTGACGGGCGTCACGAGTGCTCTAATGGCTCCGTTCCGGATGATGGTAGGGGGAGAAGCGACAGAGTCGGAAGCGATCGAAGGCTCAATTCGTTACTTGGCACTGTCACCTTGCGGAAATTTCGTGAGTATGGTGGATGAACTAGGAAGGGTTGCTATGCGTCAAATTGATGCGTGTGCCGATGTCTTGGCGTGGCAAGCTGTGGAGGACGTATGGAGTGCCGATTTTCATGGCGTCACTATGAAGTCGGCTGTGTGGCTGACTTCCGACTTGGTTGCGCTCGTACTCACGAACAACAGCGTCATCTACTCAAAGTTCGTTGCTCACTCCGAAGAAGGAGCTGCATCTGGAGCTACCAGCAGCGACAGCGAAGACGACGACATCTCACCTTCAGGGCCTACTGGCCGTCTCGTGCTGACCCCCACAAGGCACTTCAGACCCTCTATGAGTACAGCGAGTGGCGTAACTGAAAGCCTTGCTCTCACTCCAAGCAGTCAGATCTCGGGCGGAAAGCACAGCGCGTCGTTCTCCGCATGCGAAGTCGTTGTGAGCGGCGATATTTGGTTTGCTAGTCTGGTGCAGAGCTTACCTGTCGAAACTTTTGTCGATTTGTTGATGGATGCACAGCGGTTTGAAGACGCTCTCGCGACAGTTGCGCTTTATGGTACGAGTGAGAGTACTGTTAATGCTGATAGCATTCACCAGCGTGTATGGATGCAGTACCGAAATCAAGCGGGTTGTATCAAGCAAGATATTAACGACGAAGCCGCTTCAACAAGCTCGGAACTCCAAGATCTCGTCTTTTTGTCAACGCGGCCGCGGGGGCTTCTACAACGCGGGGAGCGAGATGAATTTGCAGTTGCATTGGAGCATTTGCGAGCGATTTCCAACAAGCAGTGGGTGGTTGGCGAATGTTTGCATCTCATCTCGGACGATTCCAGCGGCAACATGAAGAAGATTCTTGAGGTGGCGTGGGATGCCTGGGTGGGCTTAAACGATGGCAACGAAGTTGCAACGGAGCTCTCGCAAGAAAAGGTGGATTTACAGCGGTACATTTACCGCCTCGAAACATTGCGCTTAGTTCTGTGTGAAGAAGAAGGCGTTTCTACCACGTCGGTTGCAGGAGACCAGCTCTTTGATGGAGAAGCGTATGCGCAATTTAGATCCGCGTCTGTTTTGGCGACAGCGAAGCAGTTTGCTCGGGAAGGTCGTGTGGGCGCGCTCACTGTTCTATTCGGTCGACATGCGTGGAATTTGCTCCCCCACTGGTTTGACGTTCTCGAGCTGCTCCCACCTTTCGTGTCGCCATCCACTTATGAATCTCTCCTACCAGCCATTGCCACACAGATAGACGACGACGGGCAGATATGCAGGTTGAGCAAGATAGATGGCCTAACCGCGGAAGCTGGTGACGATAACGAGTTGGCGACTCCGGTGGTGCTTCTCTCCGATAATCAGCTTCAGGACCTTACGGATGAAGAACGAGCAGAGTTTGACGAGTACGCACAGATGGACCGCGACGAGCGCAGCTCAGTGTACGGCAAATGGTTCACGAAGAGGATTCTGGAGCTGGATACTCGTTACGGTCAGCTTGCTTTTGCTTACGAGCTTAGCTGCTTGGCCACCAAATGCTTGAGCGGGTGGTCTTCACAAGCCAAAAGGTCGCTGGAGGAGTTCTTCATGCAAACAGAGCTCTTGTACAAGTGCGTGTACCCGCTTCAGCTATCGGCCTGCTGCTTGCTCCCGCTGAGTGAGTGGTCCGCTCTGTCGATTCAAGATCAAGCGATGCTTGTGGTGGGTACTGCTGACGAGAAGACTTTTGCTGGGGACGTGTCTCCTATCCTGGATCGTTTGGACATGGTGTTCGTGTCCCAGCGCAGAGAGCTGTACGCTTTGGACGACCTTTTTTCGTGGTTAGCTCAGACTATCTCATCGAAGTCCTCCTTGGGAAGTCTGACGTTTGCAGCACAACTCATTCATCGGAGCAACCCATCGATTAATCGAGCCAACCGGTGGATTCAGAGTGACACTCAGCTGATCGAGACCGCCTTAGATGTGGTTTATTCGGTCAACTCCTCTGACATCATTGGCGACAAATCGCCTACTGTGGACGAGGATGTGTACATGCAGCGCCATTTCGCACTAGTAGAGCAGTTGTGGACAATTTTCCAGTCGCTGCCCGTCCGGAAGGAAAATGACCCGCCGGAGATTGCCCAGTTGCAGGTGGCTGTGGATGAGATGGAAGATCTGATGGTGACAATGGACGTGCTTAGCAAATACGGCGTGGTTTCGTCACCCAGTAGCCTCAAGTACCGCATGCTGGCTAGTAGTGGTGTTGGTGCGGGTGGTGGCACCAGTGTTGGGCCACAAGGTTTGCTAGAGCAAATGTGCGAGTTTGCGTTACCAGGCGATTTTTCCGACGACGAGGAAAACGGGGATGGAAGCCAGTGGATGGAAGTGCTACAGGACGCAGTCAAGCTGAAAGAACACGCGTTTGGCGAACGATTAAGCCAAGAGATGATTCTGGATGTTATTTTGAAGCATCTACTTGCGCCTGAACGCGCCTACGTCGATGCTGCCCAGAATTTAGTGAACCACTGGATCGCCTCCGATGTGGAGGCTATCGAGCACGTGCTGGATGGACTGATTGTGGCGATTCGAACGAAGCTCGACTCGGTGACTGGGTATTCGGAGGACGCCAAATCAAATACTACGCATGATGCTGCGTTGGGCTGCATCGGTATCGCAAGACAACTGCTATCGCTCCCAGTGTGGGATGAAGGAGACCGTGCCGAGTCTGGGGCAAAACAGCACTATGAAGAGGCTTTGGCGCTCGAGACAGACACCGCGCACGCTTGCGAACTGCTAGACTTGCTCACATACGGAGCAGTTAAACTGTCACCGTCCAAGCTTCGCAGCTCGACAGAGGAGCAGGAGGAGAGCAGCGCCCGACTGGATGCTGTCTGTCAAGTATTTGTAAGTAACCCGAGCAACTACAAGCCGTCCGTGCGTGCTCGAGAGTGGCTGGAACGGCATCATGCTGGCGAGGTCGATCTCACGAACGGAGAGTCAGCTCCAGAGCTGTGGAACGAGCCTCTCGCTGCAGTAATGTACTTGGCCAAGTTACTCCGCGTTGACTCGCAGAGGCTGGAAATCTGGATGAAGGGCGCTTACGCAGCACTCTATTGCATGGATTACGATGTTGCGTACGACTTGACCATGCAAGTTATCGCCGGGATTCCGACCGAGACAGAAGCACTCGCAGCTAGCCAGAACAATGGCGATGACAAGTTGACCCTTCTGCACTTGGTCTCGTTGATTTTGGACCTCGTGTCTGCTTCGTCCTTCGGGTCATGGGGTAAGAAGCGCAAACTGTGTTGCGCGCTGTTCAGCGCAGCAAACGTTGCGTCTTCGGATCTCTTCGGGCATCAAGTGACAGACTTGGTACTGTCGTGGCAGGAAAGAATAGAAGCTATCCAGGGCTTAATGGTAGAGCTTGGCTTGTCCGACGCCGACCTGGAGCAACGACGACTTGCTGGCAGCAAAACTTCTAGCAGCGCTGAAGCTGTGCTTCTGAATGAGCTGCATGTAGTCGTTGAGTTGCTGCACGAAGAGAAGAATGACCGCCAGTTCCTGCTACGACTGCTGCAGCACGGTTTCCAGCTCGCCCAAGTGATGTCCAACAACGACTCCGGGAGCGACAACAAAGACGACACAGAGGTTGTATCAACATTCTTACAGCAGATGGTGCAGCTGTGCGTGAAGGAGGCGTTGGAGTTGACTTTTGTTCCCACGACGAGTGACTCTGGAGACTGGCAGCAATACCTGGAGCTTGGTTTCAGTTATTTGATGCTGTGGAGTGATCTCTGCGTGGATGACGAAAGTTTTGAAGCATTCTGCACCGATGATATCCTGCCGTTGATTTCCGTTGATCAGCCAGTATCGGACTTGCAGCCAACGAACGCTTCTGTGCAAGCAAGTGAAGTTGTAGTTCGGTGCTTGCATCACTTCTTCTTGTTCCAGGTGGCCCAGGCCAAGGAGAACCCTGCTGAAAGTGATACTGAGGCGCTACTGACTCGCAGAAAGCGTCTTGAAACGTTGTCATCATCCTATGAAGCTGTACGGAAATCCGCTGGTTCTCTTAGTGAGTCTCAGAATGGCGCCTTAGACGACATGGCAAGCGTACTGCAATCTCGATCGATTATGTCTGAGCGTCGAAGCCAGATCTACGTGAAGTTGGCGCAGCAGTGCCAAGAGCGACTGGTTTCGCAAAAGAAGTCGCAGGAAATGGAGCAAATGAACACGTTCTTCAACACGGAGCTGGATCTGGAGCGGTTCTCGCAAGATGAAAGCTACCGAAACGAGAAGATTATGCTGCTGGCCACGAAGAAGGAGCACTTCCAGCTCTCAAGGCAGTTTGCCAGCAAGTACGGAATCGACGAGTATGACTGTGTGCTAGCGTACATCAAGAACGTGCTGCTATTTCCGCCGGATAGCAGTCGACTGGGTCGTCGAGAGCAGCTAGATCAAGCCTTCCACATTGAGCAGACTGATATCCTGGAGGAGGCTTTACAGAAGCCGGTTACTTTTGGAGACTTTTTGTTGGGAAGAGGGGCTGCAGGAGAACCCAGCGTGTACGAGATGATCGATGGAACGGATCACGTTGGCATTTTACTTGTTTTGCGCATGGTCCTGGAATGCTCAAAGCGAATCCACCAAGAATCTGCTGTGTCGGAGTCCCCCCACGGGCGATCTCTGTTTCCTTTGTCCAAACCGTCGACAGACCGTATCACCTTGCTGTTCATGTGCCTGAAAAAATTGAAGGAAATTGGAGACGCGCTCGACGATGTAGAGCCAGTTGACCTCAAGCTCATCGGCGCAGCCTCGACAACCGCCGAACTGTTGAAATCTTTAGCTTTGTCACAGACGGACCCTCAAGCTATGATTGCGAATCGTGAGATGGCTGTTGAAGCAGTGCGGCCTCTTCTTACTGGCAAGACTATCAAGTTTGTTACCAAGATCTTACGCAAGCTGCATCGTGTGACGCCAAGCTCTATGGTCATGATCTATATAAATGACTTGCTGACTGGAATCTGGAGAGAGCACGGAGCAACCGGCAGCACCACGGGAGTGCTATCTGCTGATCTGGCAGTCTACGCGTACGAGTCATGCGTGCCGTGTCTTTCAGTTCTCTCGAACGAGCACTTGATGTTGTTCCATTACTTGTTCCTGGATGGCTCAAGTGGAAAGCCAACCCCCGAGTTGGTAGCGCACCTGAATATCGAGGAGGAGTTCTACGGACAGTCGTTGAGCGTCTTGGAGCACTTCGGAGCACTGCTGACCCCTCAGAAGCGCGTCGAGCTCGTGGCAGACACGCTGACACTCTTCCAGACGAAGTACAACTCGTGGCAAAACTCGGGCCCGCGCTCAAACGTTTCGTCCACGTCGTCTACTTCATCCTCGTCCTCTTCATCATGGGACCCCGCCCAATTCAAGCGGAAGGAGCAGGAGCTGCACTATCTGGAACGCGAGTTGGCCGAGAACGTGTGCTATCTGCTGCTGAAGGAGATTGAACGGAGTGCCTTGACATTCGACACACAGTCGTTGGAGACCTTGGCTTCGAGCTTGAAGGCGTGGTTTGCGATGGATTCTCTCCAGCAAGCTGCCAACGAGGAGGTTCTTCACAATACCGTGCTGATGGAGCTTTGTAAGCGCGTGATGTCGGTGGATCTGGCGACTCTCATCATGGAGTTGGTACTGCGCGCCGGCGGAAGCAAGGCCAGTGGTGACGTTGCCGTGAGTGCGATTGCACACAGCTACCAGGCGGCCATCACTAATCTCATTGATCAGGCCATGGGCGCTGGGGAAGATGGAGCAAAGCAAAATGTCCAATGGGTCGAACGACTAGCGTGGACGTGGGTCACAGGTTCGGGCGCTCCCAGCAGCAAGCAATCAGCCGAGATTGAACGCTACCTCCGTGGCGCGTTGGGCAATTCAGGAGATGGAAAGACGGCGTCGCACGCCATATATGAGCGAGTTGTAACAATGCTCTCGCAGTCGCCGTCTACATTGCTGAAGGAGATTGGATTGAACCGGCTTGGAGCAATGCAGACTCCTGCCGACGAAGAGGAAGTCAAGCGTGTAAGCGGCGTGGTGCGTGAAGCCGTGCTGTTGCAGTGGGGGCAACTGATCGCTTTCGCTGAAGAACAGCAAAAGTGGACGGAGGCTGCGGTGCTGAGTAACATGCTGACAACGTGCGAGGGCGAAAAGAGCAGAGACGCTACTGCGGTCAAGTGGCACTTTGGTCTTCATGTGAAGGCTGTTTGGTCTGCGCTTCTCACCAAACACAAGCTTGATGAACACCCAGACTCGCAGCGCATCCTGGTAGTCCCAAGTAGCGACATTTCGGACCACTTTGCTGCTGTCTTTGAGGAGCTGCTCGCCTTCATAGAGGTTTGTGCAGGCGATGACAACCCGAGGGCGCTACGGTTCGCAGAGACGGCGACGGTGGCGTTGAGCAACTTGCTCGTGCGCCATGACGACGTACTCGGAGCATCTGAGGGTGCTGCGCAGCGGAGTGCCTCTGCATGGCAAGACGAGCAGAAGCGTGCGGTGGAGACTCGAGTGCAAGCGCAGTTTCAAGTTGGAGTCGTGGCTGAGAGGCAGGCGCCATCCATGAACGAGGAGGATGCTACATGCTGGTCAGCTCTCTTCGCCCGGGGTGTGTGGGGTGCTCGCCTGTTGAGTTGGTACACCACCCACGCGTACGCGGAGCTGAGTAGCGAGGAGGAAGCCACTGAGGCGGTCATCTTGGTGCATTGGGAGGCCAGCAACCTCGATTTGGCGATTCAACTGCTGCTCATGTGTCCATTCGACAACCTCCGAGAGAAGTACGCCGAGCGCGCCCTGTCGGTTGTGCGTCAACTCCCCCAAGGATCTCCCAGTTGGTCTGCCGCTGTGGAGCTGGCGCTGCTGCGCTTCGACGTCGCCGTGCTCTTGCAGCACGGTCTTCACTCCTCCGTGGTGGCGTTCCTGCTGCAAAACTCCACCAAACGACCTGCGCTCTGGACGTCCAGCGGCGACTACGTCGTGTGCGCGCTGGTGACACAGGGCGAGCTCGCAGCAGCTGGACGTCTGACCTGTGCACTGCGCCACGCCCACCCACTGCTTTGGGACGTGGAGAACGCTCGCCTATTGCTCGCCAACTACTTGCGGTCCCTCGCTTCGTCACCCGAGAAGCACACGAGCCACGACGCATTGGCGCTGGCGCCTCTGAAGCACGAGGTGTTCGTCCAGACGTCCACCCGGTTCGCGAGCGTCCTCATCTAGCTAGACACAAGGCAGAGCAACGCATAGACAAACAGACACACTCGTTGTATGTAGGTATGTAAGGTAGACAGACCACACTCACGTGAATGAATCGTTCTGCTTGCTACTGTATCTGCCCCTCTCTCTCTTCTATACGTTGAGCTTGAGCAGCTCCACCACGTGCGGGTTCCGCCAGTCCTTACTGACGTCCTCCAGGTGCTCCTCCACGTCCACGACGTCCTTGTGGACGTTCTGCTTGAGCCCCGCGGTCAGCACTAGGGCCGCGTCGTCCGCCACCTTAAGCCGGTTGTCCACCTTGGTCCACCCGCGCTTGACGTCCTTGAGCAGGAACTGCAGCCCCGTCTTGCCCGGGTTGCTCAGCTGCTGGCTGTCCAGCTAATACCAGGGCATACAAACTTCAAGTCAGCGTCTAAAAGTAGCTCTTGGTGCATCTATAAATATCTTACCACCAGCACGCAGGCCCTCGAGTAGTTGAGCTCGACCTTGTCCGCCAGCTTCTCGGCGAAGTGGCTGAGTCCGTTGCCAGAATCAGACGGCGAGTACCCGCTTCCGGCGAAGTAGAAGCCCACGACCTTCAACTTCTGGCATTGAGCATGGGCGTCGACCATGGCGCACGCCACCTCGAGCAGCGGCGCGAGCGGCGCCTCGTGGTGGAACAGCGGCACGGCGTCCGAGATGGAGAAGCCCTGGCCCTGCTCGCGCCCCAGCAGCAGGCCGCACGCGGCGCTGGCCGGCCGCTTGGCCGCGTGCAGCGCCAGCTTGACGTACGTCTGCGTCGCCACCGAGTAGACCGCGTCCGCCATGGTGTGCGTTCACTTGAAGAATGTATGCCGGAGGGGAGCAGGATGTGTGACGTGGTCGACATGCTCTATTAGAGGGATGTGTTATTGTAGAAGGAGCAGAGTTCTTGTACAGGAAGTTTACTGGGAACACATTCGCGCCACCTCGACCCTTCAGTTTGTGTGGTTGTGGTGTGGCGCATTGCGTCTGAGTCGACGTCAGACCAGAATTGCAAGCGTCCTGCGCGTGTCTGTGCCTCTGCCTGCCGCTAAGAGCCCAGCGTCCCAGTTCCAGTCGTCTCGCTGTCTCAACCGCCACTGGCAGCCATGGCCATGCACAGCAAGAAGAAGTTCCGCCGCTCTCCGTCGGTCACGTCGTCGTCCTCGGACTCGTCGGACTCCTCGTCGTCCTCCTCTTCCTCGTCTTCGTCCAGTTCCGACGGTGAGGACTCGGACGTGTGCACCACCTCCAAGGGCCCGCGTTTCCCTCCCGTCCCTGCCCCCGTTTACCCTCCGAAGGTGGAGCGCGCAGTCTACAGCGCCAAGAAGAAGCACCGATCAGGTTGGTACACCATCACGGAACTGTGTGATGGACGTTTGCATTTTTACTCAGAGCTAACCGTTGCTGCTACGCTTGTCGCGGCTGCTAGACATCGACCCGGAGGCTTGGAACCGCGAAGGGTTCGCGGGATCCAATGTGTGCGACTTGCCGCTGGACGAGTCCAACCCCATTAAGCGCGAGCACTGCAGCGAACTGAGTGTGAAAAGGTTCATTGACGAGTACGAGCTTCCGGAGGTGCCAGTGGTAATTGACGGCATCCCGGAGGCTGAAGGATGGGGCGCTGTGAAGCACTGGTCGCTCAAGAAGCTGCGCAAGAATTACAAGCGCGTGATGCTCAAATGCGGTGAGGACGATAATGGCAAGACCATCCGCATGAAGTTCAAGTACTTTATGACGTACTTGAACCACCAGACGGATGATAGTCCCCTGTATATCTTCGATAGCACTTTTGACGACCACAAGGACACCAAGCCCCTGCTCGACGACTACAAAGTCCCGAAATACTTTCCCGAGGACCTGTTTTCGCTTGTTGGAGAGGACCGACGACCGCCGTACCGCTGGTTCCTCGTCGGACCCAAGCGTTCAGGAACTACGCTGCATTTGGACCCGCTTGGTACGAGTGCGTGGAACACGCTGCTCGTAGGGCGCAAGCGTTGGGTGCTGTTTCCGCCGCACCTTCCCAAGAACCTTGTCAACGGCAAGAAACACGTTCGTGGGAACGAAGACGACGAGGCTGTCAACTACTTCATGGATCTACTGCCTCGCCTGAAGCGCGCCAGTCCGCCGGAGACTCTGCAGTGCATCGAGTTTATGCAATATCCCGGGGAGACGGTCTATATCCCTGGAGGCTGGTGGCACGCAGTGTTTAACGTGGACGACACCGTGGCTGTCACGCAGAACTACTGCAGCTCGCAGAACTTCCCCGCCGTGTGGCGCAAGACGCGTAGCGGCCGCAAGCGCATGACGGTCAAGTGGCTGAAGAAGCTCGAAACTCACAACCCGGAACTGGCAGCCTTGGCGACGGAGCTCAACCAAAAGGACAAGTACGTCATGTACAGCAAAGAGCCCAGTAGCTGGAAGTCGTCGTCGTCGTCCAGCTCGCACAAGAGGAAAAAGAAGAGCAGTGACAGCGAGGACGAGCTACGCGAGCCGTCAAAAGACACGCACAGCGGGAAGAAGAAGAAGAAATGCTGCTGCTGAGTCTACATACGTAGTAGGATAATGCTGCTTGGACTCGAATAGAGTGCAAAAGAACACCGAAATGCACCATTAGACAAAAGCGTTGAGGAATGTTACTCCCAAAGCAAACCTTGTAAACCAAACTCACAACGTGAGACTGGCCGGAGGCAAATTGGGGGGCCTGCTTTCGTTTTGACCGGCAACCAAAGAAGCCGGCTCGAATCGCGATGTTAACTACGCGTCAAGCCCTTGATTTACTTGAGGTATTTATTCATTGGGAACAGTTCCAGGCAATGTATTGCGAATCGATCAATCGATTGTATTCAGATCGCCAATGGGGCTTATATTCTTGGGTGCGGCGGACTGTGGCCTGAAAGATTTATTCCGCGGGCGTAATAGACGTCACCTCGAGCGTGTTGGTCCACGGCTGAGAGAAGATCACGATGTTGTAGCTCGAGTAGTCGCAGTTGCGGTCCTTGCAGGCGCCCAACTCGCCATCGGACTGCACGGGGCAGCCCGCGACCTGGAACTTGTAGTTGGTGCCGGCCACCGTCTGCGTCTGGAGGCCTTCAACGGCGATGAGGCAGACGCGAGCGGTCACCTTCTCGTCGTACGTGCTGGCGTTGCCTGCCGCCTTGACCAGGAGGTCGGTGTCATCGCTGGTCGCGTTCTTCTGCGCGTAGCCGCCGAGAATCGTGGCGCCTTGGGCCGTCGAAGCAGCGGCGAGCGCCAGACCGGCGAGGAGAGCAACAGAAGAGCGAACGAAAGCCATGCCGATGGAGGAACGGGTGGACCGGTGACGGTGGAGGAGGAGGAGGAATATCCGAGCTGCTAAGCCTGGCGGGTGGTCTCAAGCGTGAGAGTTGGAGAGTGAACGGCGGCGGAGACCGAATTTTCGCGTGCTCGCCATGCGCACAGCGCGGACTCTGCCCATCTTCTCCATCGAAAGCAAACAACCAGCCAACGGGTGTGTGTGTGTGCATTTCTGTCTGCATTTCCTGGCTTTCGAGTCGAGCGTTGTGGTGTTGAAGCGATTGCATACGAATTGGTCACCCCCCAGCTGTCGAAACGGGTCCAAGCAAGTGACTTGGGGGTTGTATGCCGATGACCGTCATGGTGGACCGACAGAGGCTCGGCTGTCCACAGCTGTCCCGCAGCAACGCCGAAATGATCGACACGACGGAGCTGCAAGTCTCACTCGAGTGACCGGCTTCAAGGAGCGCGGCCAATGGTGGTTCACACCCAAGCGAGACAAACGGGATTTATCTGCTTGTTACGAGTTGCACCCACCCAGACAGGATGGCTGCGGAAGCTGAGGTTGCAGCGCAAAAATTGCCTCAAGTTGCCGTACAGTCCGCCTTTGCATCGGTATCCGACGCAGCTGTGAATGGCATTCACTGAATACCAGATACATGTACACCGAAAGCTTTGTGTCGTGCCTCCGCTCTTCAGCCTTTCGAGTCGGGGGCTTCTAGCGTTGTAAGATGGCGGTATTCCGCTCGCGTATTCGTCTTAGGACGGCCTGCTGTCCGTGCTTTCGATGGTCCATGAGCGATCTCTGATAAAGATGTCAGAAGGCAGAGGAGAGGCTTTATAAGCTGCTGGATACTACGACGAGCGGCCATTTGGAGGCATACGACGTGCCCACTGGTGATGGTAAACCTCCGGCTCCCGCAGAGGACAAACACCCCCCGCCCCACACGGTAATTTTCGTTCTGGTCCACAAAGGCGCGCGTCTGGCAGCTCTCTCTCCAGCGCAGCTTGTCCGTCAACATACTGTAGCTGGCTGGCACGGAAATATCCACTTAATCAATACTTGATGCTGTTGCTGTTGCTGTTGCTAGACGAGTGTACCGCTTGGTGTAGAGCTCTACCCGCTCTAACCAGCATCTGGCGAACACTAAAAGAGGGTTTCTTCGCTTCCTGTCCGAGGCAACATGAGCACCACGATGACCTACAAGACTCTACTCTACGCTTGTCATTTTGTAACTCGCCCACGCCACCGCAGTTGCCCACGGAATCATGAGGCCGACTTGGTACTTCACCCTCACTGCTAGCGCCGCAGCTTTGGCGAGCCATGGAGCTGATGCAACGCCGTTCGCCAACAACCCGGTGACCATCGTGTCCAGCGCGACGTCGCTCTCGCACACCAGTCCCGCCTTCGGTGGCATTGCTCCGGGCACTGACCTGACCAAACTCACTTACGAAGTGCACGAGTACACCGTCATGACGTTCAACCGCAGCACGTCGACGCACCAGAGCACGAGCACCTCTACCACGACCGACAGTAATGGCAAAACAACTACGAGCACCAAGTCACAGTCCAACACCTCGACCAAGCAGCAGTCGAGCAAGCAGACGACGGTGGTGACCACCCCCGTGGGCAATGGATCCGTCATGGCGCCTAGCAGCGAGCGAAAGCTGGAGCAGACCACGAGCGACATCCAGAAGCTCGAGAACCACTTCGGCTCTCGATTGGAGCTGAACGTCAACAACTTGGCTTCAAATGCGGCGTTCCACACGCAGCCATGGCCCAGCAGCTACTGGGCGATCTACCTGGACGGTATCAACTACCGGTGGGCGTCTCACACCGAACCCAGCGCGACAGAGAAGTACGCCAGCGCCTTTGGGATCGACCCGGACACGCTCATGACGGCCGTGTCCAAGTCCACGGGTGTCATGTCAATGTCCGACCGACCCAAGTGCTCCACGAACTGGGACTGCGCCGGCCAGAAGGACGGGAGTGTCTGCAGTCGTCGTGAGGGGCAATACGAGGGCTACTGCATTCCGACGTGGTTTGGTATCTGCCACGCCTGGGCGCCCGCTGCTCTGCTTGAGCCTGAACCAAACTGCGCTGTCCAGCACAACGGCGTGACCTTCCAGCCCATGGACATCAAGGCTCTGATCTCGGAGATCTACGATGGAGCGAACATCGCCACGGTCTTCACAGGCGCCAGGTTCTACGGACCCGACTCGAAGGACACCACGGACGAGTACGGCCGATACACGGACTCTTCCCGTCGTGACATGGGTCCAGGCTTCATGCACGTCGCGCTTGCCAACATTATCGGACGCTTCGGTACTTCGGTAGTGGTGGACGTGTCGGCCGGCGCTGAGGTCTGGAACCAGCCTGTGTACAGCTACAAAGTTCTCAGTCAGACGGAAATGACGCCTACCGACGCTGCCAACCAGTACTTTGGGGTCTCCCAGTACCCGTTCAACAGCGCGGCTCAGCGCATCATGTATGTTGAGAGCAAGGTTTCGTGGATGATCGAGACGTTCGAAGACGGTGGACTGGTGTCCTCGGGTCGCGCCTCGAGGTACATGACGGGCAAAAAGTACACGTACCTGCTCGAGCTCGACAACGACTACAACGTTCTCGGCGGTGAGTGGGTGGGCGAGTCGAAGACGGATCACCCGGACTTCCTCTGGCTGCCCAAGGCACGGCCGGATCTGAGCTTGGTCACGGACGTTGGTTTGAGCTACCAGAACGTCCGCATGCTGCTGGAGAAGGCCACCAACTGCTAGAAGGATATTAGCAGTCTATTTCGTTCATGTGGCGTGAGGTGAACCTGTTTGCTGTTGTTAAAAAAATCAATGCGTTGGGTCAATTGAAGTTTTAATTGTGCTGTTGATTTGAGGTAGAACTGCTATAATCGAGCAATCCATTTCATTAGTTTAGTTAGTTTTTGGTGAGGTACATTACAGTCATTTAGGAAATCTAACGACTAAGCCAATGTCCGTCTGTCAGAAGCCTACACATCTTCTGTCAGCTTGCTAACTACCGTTGAAGGTGCTAGCACATGCATCCTCCGCAGAGTTGCCTAGTGAGTTCGACCGTCTACCGTCTTCATCCGGGTCTAGATGGGTTTCAATCCATTGTGATACATCGCTCGTGAGTAGTGCTGTCACGGACGACCAGGTCGGGGTAAGGTGCTCGATGTCTGTGTCAAGTACCTGGATGCTGCGTTTGGTATCCATCGCGAGGTTCGCCAATTTGTCAGCCGTCTTATTGAAGTGGCGGAGGTGATGCGTCCAGGACGTGATCTGAAGCTGGTCCGCGATAGTTCTGCATTGCGCGTAAATATCTCGCAAGTGAGCAGCCTTGGGAGGGCCTCGCCGCGCCAAATGCGCGGCTACAAGCAACTACGTCACGAGCTTGCTGAGCGCGGCTACGTCTTCCAGAACAATGCCAGTCGCTGGTCGAGTGCTGTTGTCCCAGTCCCGAAGGCGGATGGAGAAGAATTCCGCATCACCTGTGATTACCGTCGCTGCAACAGCAGGATTGTCCTGATCGCTGCAAGTGTGCCGAACCTGGCTGTAGTCGCTCAGTGTGTGAAGGGGGCGAAGGCTTGGGCAAGTTTGACATGTTCAAGGACTTTGGCAGCTTCCGGTCCACGAGAACAGCCGTAAGCCGTTCAGTTTTCAGACGGGCGAAGGTGTGTTCACACCTACTTGTGTCCCTCAAGGTGCCGTCGACTCAGCCATGCATTTCCAGTCGACTATGCAGACTGCGTTTGCGGATCTAATCAACGACCATTTGCCTGTGTACGTCGATGATGTCGTCTTGTATACTGCTTCTCATGAAGAGTACCTGGAGGTTTTGAGAGTGTTCTTTGCGAGGCTGCGAGAGCTCAACCTGAAGCTAAACTTGAAGAAGAACACTCTCTACCAGGAAGCAGTCTCCTGATGCGGAAAAAATACCGATGGACGAGGAGTGACGCATGATCCAGCTCGAGTGGAGGCGCTGGTCTCGCTTCCTTTGCCGGATAATACTGCTGAGCCGCAGCACTAACTGGCGTCGGGATTATGTGGTAGATTATGGCAGAGCAGTGGCTCCCCTACAAGCCAAGTTTGACGAAGCCATGAAGGACCACAGCCGTCGCAAGCGCCATGCTGCCTGTGTGAGTATCTTGTGGGTGGAGATGAAGCTGCAGCGTATCAATGCTTCTTGAAGCGTCTGGCGAGTTCAAAGCTGATGTCCCCTGATGATGAAGCTGTGGTTTGCCTAACATGCAGCTGCCACTGCTGCGTCCAGGCCGGGCGCGACGTACAGACCGATGCAGCCTCGAGTGGACATGGAGACAGGCTGCGTGCTGCCCATGGAGGAGCAGGAGATGATGAACAGGCAGCAGAGTGTGTACGAGTACGACCCCAAGAGGACGGCGGCCAGTATCGCGGCGGGTCCTCAAGGACGCGACGGAGCCGGGAAGAAGCAGAAGAGGCACCTGCGTCTTGCGGGTGGACAGATTTGGGAGGACCCCACGCTCGAGGACTGGCCGGACAATGACTTCCGCCTGTTCTGTGGAGACCTGGGCAACGACAGCACGGATGCCTCGGACCGTGACTGGGCCGTGATCTTAACTCAAGTCAATAACTGGAAGGAGGGGATCCCGGTGCATGAACAGAGCCACGAATTGCTGGTGTGCAAGGGTGGTTCATTTAAGGCCTCGCAGTTGCAGTGGTCGGTGGTGGAAAAGGAAGCGTATCCGGTGGTGTATGCTGTGTCCGAGCTGGAAACTTGCTGCAGCGATCGCTGGGCTTCCGCATTTACACTGATCATGCGAACCTAATCCAAATTTTCTGTCCAAGTACCGACATGAAGAAGCACGTGCGTGCGAAACTCCAGTGCTGGGTCATGACTCTCGCAGGGAGCCGCTACACTATTGCCCATGTCAACGGCGAAGATAACCACTGGGCTGACATGGTCTCATGATGGCCCGTCAGAGAGGACATCGAGACGGTGGTGAAGGCGAAGGCAGTCCTGACCCGAGGACAGCGAGAGCTGAGCGTGCTGAGGCCCTTGCAGGATGAAGCGTTTGAATGACCCTCAGTGGACGCTGTCCAGGCGGCGCAGTCTAGCTATCAGCGCCCGAGGCCACAAAATGCTGATGATCGTACTGGCCTACGAGAACGCGAAGTTGTGGATCCCCAAGCAGGCGAAGCACCTGCTAGTTTGCATTCTCGTGGTGGCTTATTGTGGAATGCAGGCGCACCGCGGCATTGATGCCACGACCACCCAGCTCGAGAAACATTTCTCCGTTTCGAATTTGGCTGCAGTTGTCTCTCGCTTCGTGAACCAGTGCCTCTTGTGTAAGCACATCAAGGGTGGCAAGCTGATCCGGCGTCCGTGGTCGGAGACCGAGACTGCCACGAAGAGAAACGAAGTGCTTCACCTGTACTACCTCACGATGGGAGATGGGAGAAGGGTACGGCACCTCCATGTTGTGTTGGTTCTGAAAGATGAGCTCACTCATTATTGGGAGTTAGTTGCATGTGATTCACCTACGAGCGATGTGGCTGTGGTCGCAATTCGGGATTGGCACAAGCGATTCGGTCTTCCAACCAAACGGGCCATTGACAATGGTAGCCATTTCCGCAGTGCAGTGATGGCGGAACTCGCGACAAGATTGCGCGGACTGCAGAGTTTTGTACCGGTGTACACGCCATGGACCGATGGTACCGTGGAGAGAATCAATCGGGGCATAACGTAACTACAAGTCGTGTGTGCTTTGTTACTGGAGCAGCGTCTCGATACACGCAGTTGGGAGTACCTGTTGCCCGTCGTTCAAGCGAATTTGAACCAAACACCTGTGGCTTCGCTCAGGAACAAATCCCCTATGAAGCTTTTTACTGGTCTGCCCCCGTCGACCCCCTCGAGACTTGTCTGATTCCTGACAGAGCCGAAGATTTGCTGGGGATCGATCTAAGCAATGTAGAGGGTTTCCTCAATCGACTACGGCCCAGTCTTGTATCTCGGGGGATGCGGGATGACCAATTGCGGGTCGAAGCGGGACGCTTTAGGGACGACACCCCTTCTTGTCCCGCTGGGATGTTGTGTGGCACGGGCCGCGGGATACATAAATTGAAAGGCAAATGTAGCGGACTGCATCTCTAACACACTGCCAGGGTGCCGGAGGTCCTGGCAGTAATCGACCAGGTCCCAAACGCCGCTCCCAATGAGGAGAGCCAATCATAAGTGAGATTCCAAATGACTTCAACAAAGTATGGACTGGTTTATCGGCTCCAAAGCCAAGAAAAAACCTTAAGGTTTTATTTTTGGCAGGCTGCGCAGCCTTCTCCGCCTTCACACTTTCCGCCCCGCATCTCCAACACAACAGCGCGCTCCGAGCGTGCCGCACGCCGCCCCCGCCGGTCATCCCAGACTCGAGTGCCCCCAGGCGCGCCCCACGCGCCTCACGCAAGGACCCGTCGAAAGCAGCTACAAAACCCGGCAGGGCTGGCGTTATGCTGCCGGTTTCGGTAGCTGTCGGCCAAGCACGAGGTCGTGCGCGCTCGCTGACGGTATGTGAGCGTTTTTCTATGGTGTATGACTTTGTATCGGGACTGACGGGAATCCATGCGCTGTGTTTAAGTTGTGGGATGGCGATGACGGGTGCATTTGCGCCTTGAATTCGATTATCCATGTTGTATGAATAGGAATGTATTAAGCGTTAATACAAGCTGCGTGATCCTACGACTCCAAGTCTTTTTGCTTCCATTGGTGACTAGCTCGTGTGCAGCGGTCGACGATGCCACCGTTCGCTTTGCGGGTGATAAATGCTGAGCAGAGCGCGTCGTACGCAGAGCGGTGGTCAATGCGCGGCTTTCTCCAGCGCTTCCGTAGCGATCAAGCGGTTTTGGATCGGCCTTTACCGTCGATACTCCCAAGCGCAGCGTTGACCTTCTTGTCCAAGTCTTCCGCTAGCGTCCAGACACGCTGCTTCCACAGCCGATACGCGACGCCGTCCCGGTCCAGTGGCGCCGTTGGTACGTCTACCTCTCGCCCTGCTGCTATGATCATGATGTTGACACCTGCCTTGAGGTCAGCGCGAACAAACTGTTGTTTCTTTTGGGTTGCCGTGTGCCACAGCTCCAGTGTGTACCACTTGTAGAAGCAGCCAGCAAGAGAGTGCGCTTCAACGACGGTGTCAGTGCTCGCCTGCGGGGCCTGGCCAGCACAGCGACAAGGAGCAGGACCGTCAGCGCTGGCGGACTTGCTCTCGTGGACCGCGACGAGCTTCTGAAGTGTGCGCTGCATTGCTGTGATGGACGATAGCATCTGGGTGACGGCTGCGGCAAGTATGGTGGTGTTTCCATTGCTGCGCTCACCCAGCTGCCCGAAGTTCTCCGTTTGCCAAGCCGTGCGAAGCTGCCGATCCCAACCAATGCACGTGTCCAGCGAGAGCCGAGCTCCCAGCGCTACGTTGGTTGCGTCCAGAGCTTCGTGGAAGCGGTACAGGTAATGCGATGTGAAGCCTGTGGCAGCCTGCTCCTGCTGGACTGCCGTCGCGACGTCGTCAAGATGGATGAGCAGGGACGCGAGCGCCGCATCCAGGACAAAGGCGTCGACGTTGAGCGTGGTGTCCGTGAAGCCGCTGACGTTCTTGATGAGCTGGCCGCGCAGGGTTAGCAGCTGGGCGTACTCGAGCGCAGGAAGAAGCTCGCTCAAGGTGGCAATCGTGGGCGTGACGCATGGCAGGTGCGGGTCTCGGTATCCAGCGAGGACTTTGCCGACACTCTGGTCCTCGCGTGTCGTGGTACCCACGTACGCGAACGCCTTCGTGAGCGAGTCTAGCAGCCAAGCTCCCCGGGTCGAGATCCACTGGATCGCAAGCTGCAGTGAGGCGTTTGCATACGCTGCGGAGCCGTGGCGCAAGGAGTGGCTGCTCAGCCCTGCGGTGAGCGTCGGGGGCAGCGGGGCATAGGCTTGGGCTTGGCGTTCGCAGACCATGGTGATGACGTCGTTAATATACTTGGACACGTTGGGCCTTCCTCTCACGCGCTTTGTTGGTGGCTCGTTCCTTGGTTCAGCTTTCTTTTCAAGGTTCTCCCAGTAGAGTATAGCTTCGTCTTGGCTATAGGTCTTCTCCCCTGGCAAATCCGATGCCGCCGCGTGCGGCATTAGCGGGAATACATGGCTGGAAGGCTCCGACGCTCCGACGAACAGCATTCCGAGGCCGTGCAGCATACACTGCTCCCAGTGAGTCGCGGCCTTGTAAATTGAGATGCCTTGAACCACCGAAGTCTTGATTCGAGCTAGATGCAGAAAGAGCTCCCCCAATGCCGCCATAGATAGCTGGCTCTTCCTAGCAAAACAGGTATCGATCGCTCGACCAAACATGTGCCACATTAACGTTAGTACAGCAGCGTCATGCAAACTCTTATCACCTGAGCCAACCCCCTTAATCGCAGTTTCCTGCACCAGAACACGCAAGTCGATGCGCGTGCAGCCTGGAGCTTCACCAGTCTGCACGCCAGCTAGCAAATTTCGCTCCTCAATAGTTGAACCCATTTTGTCGCGTATTTTCGCAATTCGCTTGCTGTCTGACAAGTACAGAGGGTACCGCTCTCGGAGCAGGTTTACAACTTGGGACATATAGCCCACAGCAGTAGCCTTAGCAAGACGGCCTCCTCGAGCTCTTGGCTTAGTTTGCAAGAAAATGGAGAAGGCGGTTAGCAAAGAGTAAAAGTTTTGACTTGGTAGAGCATCAGGTATAGACAGCGAATTCGCAATACTAGCAATTGACTCCTCATTCATGTTAGCAAGAGCTAAGAATTCGCTGAAGCACTTCATCGCCGCTGCCTCCTGTCCTGCTGTCCCTTGTGGGATGTCAAGCCCTCTCGGCGCCCGCTGCATCTTTTCAAATGGGAGAGGAGAGAAAGCAGACGAGGCACAGCTATGAGTAATGCAACATTTACACTTAACTTTTGTATTGGACATTATTCTAGCAAGACTGTAAATTCCCAAAATAAATGGGAAAATGTTGGGATACACACGAATCGATCGTGATTGGCTAAATTCATTGAAGAACTTGTCCTGATTGGATAGATGCAATGACAGAGAAGCGCAAGGAATGCCAAGTTGGGAGAAAGCTTCCTTATCCTACAATAACCGAATTCGTCCCAATATCGTCCCGCGGTTGCGGGGAGATGTAAGACTGGGCCGTAGGCCCGTGAGAGCTTTCACGCCATGCACATGGAAGTCGCTAATCGCAAAGAAAGACGGCAACCGAGTTGGAATCTTATATTACATCGCTCCGTGTGGTAGGCCTCGCGCAGTGCTTGACGATTAGGCAAGCCGTCACCCAGATATCTCACACTATTTGACCTCTCATCGGCTCCACTCTCAGCACTTCGATGGCAAAACGATGGATCAGGATTTACCCCTAGACGAAATTTGGTTTTCTCCCTTAACAGAAGGTCCCGCTAAGAGGGAACACAGAAAAACACATAATGCGGAATTAGTCGGGTTTCAACGCCATTTGGGCACGTGAATGCTTTCAACTTTAAACGAGCAGTATACCTTCTGCATTGAGGTGCTCTATCTTGCTTTGGCAATGCAGTGCATGTAGCAAGCGCCCTGGTAGTAACTCTGTTTGAAGTCATTTGTAGAGATTACGCATTTGTAGACATTTCAATTTGGTACATGGTATTGTGAATTCCGGCCAAATTTGCCGAATCGGGTCGGTTTTGGGGCACCTGTCCAACCGACCTATACAAACATCAAGTCATTTGCCGAATCGCCGGCCAACAAACAATGGTTCTGTGACCGCATGTCAAGCCCAATCCGTACTTAGTAGGTGTCAAGGGGGCATAGCCGGGCGACCATAGTCAACCCAAGTGCTCTGGCGATTCGCCGGCGGTTTGCCATCGATTCAATCCGCCCCGCTCGGAAAATTAGAGTAGAACTCGCGAGCTGCGCAGCAGCGTTACATAGCTAAGGTAAGAGAGCGTTGCAGGCCCTTAAGGGTGCTGATCGACGTGATCAGCGCGATGGGCGCTAACACGGACGTGAAGTCACTGCTTTCCAAGGACGTTGGCAGGATGACCGACTTCGCGATCAACGGTTGATACAACCTGGTGGGAGGGAAGGTGGGGGGAAGCTGCCCCGCTCTTGAACCGTGTTTCAATTTTTTGAAAATCGGTTCACAGAGCACACGGCAATCACTCGAGGCGCGTTGGTGCAGCGCCTGTGGTTGCCAGATAGTACAGATAGCTTACATTAGATTAGCATAGTGTTTAGTTTGAGATAGCGAACTGGCGAACGATACCAGTTGCATGCATGCTTCACTAAAACCGCAATTAGTTTTTTTTTCGACTTTCACCGTTTTGGGCTCTTTTTGTTCCCTTCTTAGCGGGATCTCCTGTTAAACAAAGAGAGTTACTGAATCTGATTTTGAGGGGTCATGTACACAACAGTATTCATTCAGCAATTCAGCTTGCAGACCGTCCACGCGCTCTGCTCCAGACCGAAGTTCAGGTTGCATTACAATCGCGGATTTACGGTGAATCAGTATACTTAAGTAGTCGCCTGGATCAGATGAACCGGAACACACTCGCTACGAACTTGCGCTTTCCTATAAGGACAAGAAGAAGATGTTTGATCTTCGTGCTCTATTTTTTTTAATTGAGGTACATTGTTGTCACTTAGTTTTTCCTAACGACTCCAACGACCGGCCCCGCAAATGCTAATCGTCACCTTCAGGTTGGGGCTCCTACTTTGCGTATCGCCTCCGTCGCGTCTTCCTTACTCGGCGTCCGCGTCAGGCTCTTCAGCCCCTCCAGTGAAATATGCATCCCGCCAATGCCGGAGGTCGCCGTCTGATCTTCGTGTTATAGCAATAGCCATGGCGCCTGAATCCATCTTGAAAGCTTAGGTGCGACCGGAAGCCAAACTGCGTCGGATCTTGAGATCATCAGTGACTGTGCCGTCCAGGTAATTCGGCCAAGGTGATGTTAAATGAAAACGACAACAATAAGATGATGTAGAGCTTACCCACTAACAGTGTCTGAGTGTCTGCGTTCGGAGGTATACTTGTAGTTTCCCAACGGACAAGACCTGCCACTGGCAGCAAAATCTGGTTCCCACTACTAGTAACCACAGTCTTTAGTAGTCGCTAGCGATCGTATTAGTTAAGTGCCAATAATGAATCATTATTAATGATCCTCAATTCAAAACAAAACAAAAACTACAAGTAACCAGGCCCCAGCGCTTAGATCGTTCGAACCTGCCCTCGTGCAGAAGAATCCGTGCACGAATGCACCTGTTTCATGTACGTCCAGCAGCATGCACGTTAGATCAAGCTCAATGCTGTTGCTGGCTGACCAGAATAACATCAATGCCCCACCTGCTTTATGAATCCAAACTGGGCCACCTACCAAAACGTGTGTCCACCTATCTGAAGCCGGCACTACCTCGCCACATGATGACCCTGCTGGCTGGCGCACCCGAAAAAAACCACCGTGCAGCGAAGAGCGAGCCGTGGCATCGTGGCGTGCGCATTTCCACCTGAACACCTGCAGGCGAGCAGCCCACATGGCCGCAGCTTGAGAGGAGCCACGGTGGTATAGTAGAGTGTCGACGGCAGATATCAACCAAGACAAGGCTCACTTTCCAAGTTCCAGTCTAACGCTCCAAGCAGCTTACTTTACCAACTCTACCACCAACCATGGTCTACCTCCGCGCGCCCGCAGCCATTGGTGCTGCCCTCCTGACTGCTGTGCCAGCTCAAACGATGGTCGGTACGTGGAAAGAGGCCCCCGTGGCCGACGCGGACGTGCAGCTATTGACCCAGCAACGCGAGCTACTACGCACCGGGCGTGACCGCAGCAATCTGCCTCATCGCCGTCGAAGGACTGTGGACGCAGACTGTGGCCGGCACCAACTACAAGTTCCAAGTGGCTGGATGCGCTGTGAACGACGCGAGCGGCCTCGGCCCGAGCGTGGACCGCCAGTGCGCCATATCCGACTACGACGTCGTCATCTTCTCGCAACCGTGGACTAACACACTGCAGGTCACTTCCGTGGCGCCCCATACGAGCTAAACTGTGAGCGAACCTGAAAGGTTCAAACAAAGAAACACGCAGCCCTGAAAGCTGCGGTGCTATTTCATGTAGATCCCAAGTGTCTCGCGGTATCCGTGCACAGCGGATGTTCCGACCTCTGCTGCTCTAAGATAAAATACAATAACCTTGTCGGTTGGTGAGAGTTACCTTAGAAGGCGCACGAGCTTGGATCAGGATAGAATGCCGTCTCGTTTTGTGCCCTGCAAGCTGGTTGGACGCTAAACGCGCTGCGAACAAGCGCGGTTGGACTCAACGCGGTCGAGATCCTTTGCAGCGAGATCGCGTCTGTACACGAGAAATTGTACGGTCCTGAGCAGGCAAGCAAGCGGTGGCTATCGTGTGGAGTCGCGATGGTAGTCAGATCTCGGTCTCTTTGTGCTCATGCTGTATAGCCAAGGACCCTTCCCAACCCTTTATTATTGCCTTGATGCACAAAACTATGCGCGTATACTACACTTTTTCATCATGCTATACTACGCTCTACACCTTCATTTATGCATAGTTCACCACTTATCGAATATTACAGGTTCCTGCGACGTGATGCAGGATCCAAAAATGCGCGAAGCGGTACGCGGTCAATTGCTCCACCGTCTCATTCGAGAACAAGCGCTGCAGTGCACAAGCTACACCACCGCCAAGCGCTGCAAGTCCAAGCCCAAACAGCACAATAATGCGCCAAGTGAATCTGCTGCTCGTTCTGCTGACCGTCCTAGCGGCGCTACTGACCGTGAGCCAGGCTGCCACCTACCACCTCGTTGGCCAGTGGATGCCTGCGACGCGGAACACGGCGACCGAGAGGCTGCTGACGGAGGCGCTGCAGAAGCAGAAGCAGAACCAGTCGCTCAAGTCGCGCCTGTGCTTCACGGAGGTGACGGGCATCGAGCAGCAGATCGTCAACGGCATCCACTTCCGCTACCACGTGCGCGGCTGTGAGACCGCCACGCCCGGCCGCTGCAACAGCGGCGCCTGCGCCAACGCCAAGAAGTTCGACGTCGAGCTCTTCACGCAGCCATGGGCCGACATCACGCAGGTCATGTCGGCGGTGAACGTGCAGTAGCTGGCAGTTGCTTCAACCAGATCCAGCAGCGAGGAGAAGGAGACGGAAGAGAGAGGACGGAAGTAAGATACGGTATTTAGGAGCGCGTAAATGGCATTGCTGCAATGTGTACGCGTCCGTTTGAGTTGTGCGTTTGCTTGTTGCTGCTGTAGTGCAGCGATGCGATGGTGCTTTGTCGCCGGCTGCAACGTGTAAGCACCCCACGAAAGCTTTACGATGCCGTGAAGACAAATCCTGAGAGAAGCCTCGACGTTAAAATGTGGGGACGAACTTGAAGGATCTGCCGACGGCAGCGGCAAGGAACTTTGGTGCCATGATAGATTGATTCGAGCTGCTGCCGCTGTATATAGAGCTTAGCGTGACGCGCTTCAACTTGTTCAATGCCTGTTGCTGAGCTGCTCGGTGGCCCACATCGGACTAAGAAACGCGTTCAGCGCTTGCAGGCGATCAGGCAAACTGCGCGTGAGCTCTCTTGACGGCTCAGCCCAGATCCGTTCCTTTGCAGCTGAACGCGAGCTCCATTGATTCTCACCATCGCACCAACACGGAACAGCCTTCCCCAGCACCAAGTGGCCGGCGCGCGAAGAGATCGCGCTGGCCATTATAGGCTTCTTGCGCTGATTCCAGTCCACCAGCGGCGCCATAGAGTCAAGTGCAGGAGCTATTATAACTTCGCCACGTTGCAGAGGGCTCTCGTTGGTCTCCTCCGGACGGCTCAAGTGCAGCCTCGCACTCCCATTGTCTGCATCTCAAGACGATGAAAGATATGATACCGGTGGTGGCACCGCATTGTGCACTACATGTAATACTATATAACTCCTCGATTATCGACCGCGATCACCGCGTTCCAACGCACAAAGTGATGGCATCCGTCGCCTCGTGGATGGTCCAGCCAGCGCGCCAAGCGGAGTGAGCGTAGCGTTGTTGTAGTTGACTCCTCACGGTTGTGAAGCGCAGTACCGTCGCCTGCCAGAACAGTGCTGCCCCCGTGCTCTTCAACTGTCGTATCCGTTTCGACCTGACTTTCCTCCAATGAGAAGGTGTCAAAGTGCTGTATTTCGACCAATAGAAGCCCATCACAAGCTCCCCGCGTCGCCCAGCTCTCACTTCCACTTTTGCGGCCTCGCGCTCACAGCCCCCAAGCCGAACCAAAAGCGCCTAAAATAGTGCGCGAGTGGTTGGAGCCGAAAAGTGAAGCACCATGGAGGGCCAGTGGCGCTCGGAGATCGCCGAGGACATGCGCAAGAAGATGATCACGGAAATGTACGTCTCTCGCTCGGTCTGCTGCGCTGGGTGCGCGCTTGCTGCGTGGTCTGGGGGCGTCCGAGGGGGCCGAGCCAAGAAACGGCTCACCTGGCTGCCCCCTTCCCTCCCCTCTTGTTTCCAGGGCTTCGTATAAGCCCGCTTGGTGTGTCGTAGAGACTGACTGTGGGCCTTGTGCTGCTCGCGTAGGTATCATGAGCTGGCGCGTATCTCGGGCGAGGTGGACAAGCAGAAGGTGTGGGGATCGGCCGCCAAGTTCGAGCTGATGCTGTGGTCCAGCAGCCCCGACCGGGTAGGGAATACTGAGCTGTTGAAGTGTGAGTTGAGGGAGGCTGTGCTGACGTGGCCCTTGTGCGTGCTGTGTTCGTGGGTACAGAACTCGTACCTGATGAAGATGCAGCGCAAGATCGTGAGTCTCAAGAAGAAGCCGAGTGCGGGCGAGGTCCAGCAGGCCAACATGATGCCCAACGCCAGCAACGTGGGGACGTCCAACGCCATGAACGGCGCTGCTAATGGTATGAACCCTGCGATGAACATGAACATGAACGCGCAGCAGTTCCAGCAGAACAACGTGAGTCAAGCCATGAACAACTTCCAGCAGCAAGCCCAGGCGCAGGCACAAGCCCAGGCTCAAGCGCAAGCTCAGGCTCAAGCCCAAGCTCAAGCTCAAGCTCAGGCTCAAGCTCAAGCTCAGGCTCAAGCCCAAGCTCAAGCTCAAGCTCAGGCCCAGGCACAAATCCAGGCCCAGGCTCAGGCTCAAGCCCAAACAGCTCAGGTCCAGACGAATGTTATTGCTGCGTCTAAAGCTGCAGCTATTGCCGCCTCAGCTGGTTTAAACCCCGCCGTGACGGCGGGCTTGAACGTGGCAAGCACTGCGGCGACCACAGCTGGGACAACGCCGGCGGTGAGCATCCCCAGTGCCCCGCAACAGCAAGCGCAGCAGTGGCTCCAGCGTATCCAAGTGCAGTTCCAGGCCCAGCAGCGCCAGCTACTGCACACGCAGAACCAAGAGACGCAGCAGCTCCGCCAGCAACACTTGAACCAGCAGCAGCAGCTCACCCAGCAGCAGCAGCAACAGGGTGTCGCCCCTGACCTGCGTCGCCAACAGTTGCAGACGTTGCAGCAGCAGCACCAGCTCGCTCGCACGCGTCTGCAGCACCTGCACAAGAGCAAGCAGCAACAACTACAGCGCAAACAGCAACAGTACTTGATGCAGAAGCAACACCAGCTTCAGCAGCAGCAACAGCAGCAAGGCACACTGCCAGCGACGTCGACTGCGGCCACCACAAATGGTGCTGCATCGACCACCATGATGGCGGCAACGCAAGCCGGCGTGACGTCGGCATCGATGTCGCTTCCCAATGCGACGACAGTGCAAACAACTGCCCCTACCGTTCCGACGACGCAGGCTGCAGCAGCGCTCCAACGTGGAGTGAATCCGGAACAACTTGCCGCCGCGCACACTCAACAAGCTGCCATGCGCGAGCTGCAGCGCGCCCAGAATACGACGCAGTTGCACGCGGACAATGCTCTGAAGCACCAGACCCCGAACGGCACTACAGCCACGGCTTCTGCAACTCCTACGGCTTCGGCTACGACTGCCACTACGACTGCAGCTACCACCACTACCACCGGAAACAACAACCAGACGTACGTGGAGAGACTGAAGGAGATGAAGCAGAAGTACTGGGATGATCTGGTGATTGTGTACCGCGAGTTCGAGCGCATGGTGAAGCAGAAGCCTGCGAACCAGCAGCAGGAGCGCATCAACACTTTCCTCGTGAACTTGAAGCGCATCATTGCGCTGCTTCAGCAAGACCCCTCGAAGGTCACGAGCAACAACAAGAACGATCTGGATCGAGTCGAAGCTCACATTCACAAGCAAGTGCTGCCGATACTGGAGCGTCTAAAGAACAAGACTCGTGCGGCTGCCGCTGGGGGTGGCGCCAACGGCACTGCGGCGACTCAGCAAGAGCAATTGAAGAAGGCTCAAGAAGCTCAGCGGCTCGCGCAGCTGCAAGAGCAGCAGAAGAAGATGCAAGAGCAGCAGAAGGCCGAAGCTCAGCGAAAGTTGCTCGAGGAGCAAAAGAAGAAGATGCAGCTCGAGGCCGCTGCAGCTGCGGCAGCCAAGAAGCAAGAGATGCTGGAGCAACAGCGTCAGCAAAAGCAGAAGCAGCTGCAAGCCCAGCACGCTCAGCAGCAAGCTCTTCTCCAGCAGCAACAACGGCAGCAATTGCTGGCCCAGCAGCAGGCGCAACTCAAGGCCCAGAACGAGTTCCGAATGAATGCGGCAGCGCAACAGACTGGAGCGGTATCCGGGGCGGCGGCGTTGGCCACTGCAAATGGTGTTGCTGCGACTACAGCGGGTACGGGCGTGTCGCCTACCAGCTTGGGAGCCTCTCTCCAGACGCCTATTGACGTATCAGCTTCGACTCCTGGAGAAACGACTGCGATAAACGGCATGGCCTCGCTGACTCCGTCTCAATACCGCACTTTTAAGCTCCCTGAGGCGCGCAAGCAGCAGTTGACGGCCCAGCATGCTAAGTTGCGCGAGCAGCAGCAGGAGCTCATCATGCAGCAAAGCCGAGCTAAAACGCCGGCAAGCCAGGCAAAGCTCGCGCAGCAGGCCCAGCGCCTTGCGCAGATGATCAACAAGATCTCGCAGCAGTTGGTGCAGTGCAAACTGGCGGAGGAGTACGAGCAAGCCAAGGGCCTGAGCATTGGAACGGCAGCGCAGTCCGCAACTACTCCGGCTACGCCTATAAAGCCTGAGCTTGCGGCTGCAACCGCTACGACGCCTGCAGTAAATGGCACTGCACCGACAACAGCCGTGACCCCTGGCGATGCCTCTGCGCTGTTAGCAGGTCAGACCGCTGCGACCAGCGCCGTGAAGGTTGAGGCCACAGCCCCTGCGGTGACGGGTGCAACGGAGCCGTCCAAGGTCGACGAGAACTTCAAGTCGGTGCTACCGGACATGACTGGGCTGGGTGCGTCGGAGAAGTTGCTGACAGCAGTTGCCGCCTACGAGAAGCACAAGCCGGAGGTTTTGAAGCGCGGCGCGTCTCGATTCTCGCGCATTGCTGTCACGATTGGCGCCAAGCTCAACACGTCCTACGTGACTTCCTAGAGAGCGCTTCAAGGTCGGCAGTGCTCGCGTGAAATGAGGATGAAATGGAGATGATTTTGTAAACGGACGGCGACGGCGTGGCACAAAGCCAAGGAATGCACCACCGAGCAAAGCGAGTGAAGGCGACGGGCGCGTTCACGCACTGGCAGATAGGAAAAAGTAGGCTTTGCTTTATTTATGAAATAGCGCTGGTGTTGTTGGTTGTGGTTGTTCAGCACGCCCTTGCTTCTAAGCCCCCCGCCGACGGCTGTAACTGAGCTCCACTGGCCATTCGAGTCAGTGCAGCCATGTCGCGCGGGACTCACTTTCCTTTTAGAAAAGGATTTGGGGACATGTTCGTCCCGGCACCAGACTCGACAGCTCGCTCTGTTCTGCCAGGCGAACTCCCATCGTTGTTATCTATAGTCCGAGCCGCCGGTGGCACTCAAAACTGCAGTATCTGCACGCACAGAGGCCATGAATCAGGTTTTTTAAAACCTGATTAAAATCACCGAATGTCCTTCCCGACACGTTTCAGTTCAATGCAGCGATCGCGGTGGCGCGTTGCAGACATGGCAGCGGCCCGCCTCAAGTCTCAAGGATACATACAGGCATTGCCTGCATGTTGATTCGGTTGAAGCACAGCTGTCTCGACTCAGTATTGATCAGGATAAGCTCACTCACTCATACACAAACGTCATTAAGCATGGCAGCGGGGAGCCCTTGGCATTGCGTTAGTGTTCAGATTGAAACTATTTCGCATCAGTTGACAGGATTTTTTAAACCTAGAATCCGTCTCAAATTTCCAGCCCTGGGTTTATGGTACCCGGGCTAGACATTTGAGACCTCACCATTTAACCCAAAGTGGGTGGCACCTGTTCGCAGAACACCCCAGTTGACCAATTGACCGCGACACCCCAAGCGTTTAGTACCCATACCATCCCGTACCATGCGACACGAGTCGGTTGCACGCTGCTGGAGGCCTCGGGCCGCCGCGCCCTGACGCGTCCGCGGCCTCTGCCCGGTCTCAAGTAGCGCTTCAGCGTGTTGAAGCGGACTACCAGCTGTTTATGTGTTCGACATATCAATATGTACCACACACCATTTCGGTCCGCTTGTCCGCCCGATCGTCCACCCCCGGTCCACTTACTGAACCCAAGTCAAGCTCCACTCCTGTATGAAACAGTCGAATCGAGACTCTCAGTCGAAAAGCAGACGCCGAAAGAGCAAGAACCGAGTCGAAGGCCCCCAGCGCGCTCCCGCTGCCCCTCGCTCCCCCGCAATCGCCCGCAGCTCCGCGCAGGCTTCACGACCACCCGCAGTGCCAATTGGAGCTTTGAATCCATTGCCCAGCGACCCACCGCCATTGCGCAGGCCGTTCCGGTGCAGCTTTTCTCGCACTCGAGAGCTCCAGCGGAATCCCAGTGGACCCGCAGCCACAACAGGCGCCACCTCGCTGCTCGTTGCAATTCACGAGCACTCCGAGCTTGCTCTTGACGTTGCAGAGCCCAACAAATCGCCATGTCGACAATCGTGGCGGACCCACCCCGCCAATCAGGGATGGCTACACCCGGCACAGCAGTGAAGCCCCTAGCTGTACCAGCGAACGGCACCAAGGAGCCTGCGTCCGAGGCAACGCCAGAGCCTATGGACGTGGATACGAGCCACGAGGAGGCCTCTGTGCAGCAGAACGACGTGGTGGCCAATGGAAAGGCCAAGGATGTGTCTGCTACAGCTGCTGCAGAGGTGACGACGGCCCCGCGCAATGCTGAAAGCGCGGCCGAGACGACGAGGAAACTCATGGAGAGGGCCAAGCGCCGACTGCAGATCCAGATGCAGTACGTGGAGAACGCGAAACGCAAGATCCTGGATGAGACCCATCCGGATATGGCAGAGAGGTTGCAAGTGCTCGTGGAAGAGCGCGACCGGCGCCTGCGAGTGGCCAAGCAGCGGAGCGACTACTTCCAGCACGGCACGACTGTGATCTTCGACTACGAGTGCGACGAGGCCAACTCGGAGTATGAACTGCACTGTGAGAAGCTGCGTCAGGATATGCTGGACGAGATCCACCACGAGATGGAGATCCTGGGCGACCAGCGCAAGGGAGGGCACAGCTTTTGTAAGGATCTGGTGGCATCTGATGCACGTGTCAGCTTTTGTTTCATACTTCTGACTGTTCGTGCGTTTGTGTCTATTTTACAGCTCGGACGACGACTCGGAAGACGCGCAGTACCCGCAATAAAAACGGCTCGGACGCGAACGTTGCCCTCGACACCGCACAGAAGATCAAGAAGCGTGCTGGCTATGTGTTTCAGCCGCTGGAGAACAAGTTGGGTCAGTCGGAGATCGACCACGACGTCCGCGAGCTTACAAACGTCTACGAGGCATCGAAGAAGCGGCGCATGGAGTTCGACACCGGTACGCCCCATATCCTGTATCGTAAAGCAGTCATTGCCAGCACTGATGAGGTCATGTGCATTGTTCAGACGGCGAGATCACGCCTGTGGCCAAGTACTACCGGAATAAGTTTCTGTACCGCGACTGGATCTTCCAGGAGGGCGACGAGGTATACGTGCTCAACTACCCGGCGTCCAGCGAGTATGCAGCCGTCATCTGCGGCATCACGCCCACGGAGCTCCTCGTCCTGTCGGAGAAGGGCAAGTACTACCGCCTGGTCATCATGGACATCCGACAGGGTCGTGTCGTGCTCACCACGCTGTCATCAGAGCAGGCCGCGTCCCGAGACGATCTCGGTGACGCGAGTCCATAGACGCACCGCCAAACTTGCCGGTGTCAATTTCTACGCTTGTGCTTGTCCTCGGCCTCCCGCCTTGTGTCTTAATTTTGCTTATCTCATCAACAAAATGCTTGAAAAAATCAACATTGCGGTGCCATTGAAGTGTGTACAACAGGCCAGTAAGCAACAGCCCCTAGCCAGTCTATACGAGCTGCAGCTCGCATACCAGCGACCTCCCGGCAGAGAAGCACACTACGTGTGACTTTTACTGCCCCGCAGCCTCCTTTGCCTGCTTGTCGGCCAAGTACTTGGCCGCCGCCGTCTTCTTGCGCTCCTCCTCGGCCTGCTTCTCGGCGTACATCTCGGGCACCTCGAGGCCCACGCGACGCGCTGAGCGGTTGACGATCTCGTGTCCCGAAAGCTTCTGCTCCAGTCCAGCATCCAGCGCCCACAGATGCTGCAAAGCGACACATGTGTGTCGTCGGACTCAGATTTGACATTGATACCGCATTGATTGATATTCCCACGTACGCGCTGCTCCTCGATACCCTGCAGCAGCATCAGGTAGTCGATGGCCTCTGCGCGGTACGCGCGCATCTTGGCGCGGTCGTTCTCGTGCTGGCGCGCACGGTACTGCAGTGAACATGACATCAGTCAGTCAGGGAGCGTGCGGCGGACAGTGGACGAGAGAGCGCGGACGTCGCACCTGCGCCAGGATCTGCTGGGAGAACTTGCAGTCGCCCACGGACTCCTGCGAGCCGCGCGCGCGAGCCACGCGCAGCAGCGAGCGCAGGTTCTTGAGCACGTCCGCCTTGGAGCCGATGCGCAGACCCCTCGCCATGATGAGCCGATATTTGGCGTCGAGGCTCTGGTTGATGACGACGCTACACAAATCATACGTAATATTGTGTGGTAAACGTGAGTGGGTTTTGATTGGATAGAATTTGCACCAATCGCGACTCTGCTTCGCAGCTCTTTGTGACACGGATCCGATTGACTGCAACGTCAGTCGAAGAGCTCACAAATTCCCTTCGGATGACACCATTCCCAAACTTCGTCAGCGACCTCACATCGTCAAGCTTCGGAGGACAATTACACTCCCCCAAGATGGCCACTGGCGCCACCTCGAACGGCGTCAAGACCCCCACCATGAACAATGCCGGCTCCACGCCAATCGAAGAAGCGCTCGAGACTATTCGCCAGGGAGGCTTCGTAGTCGTCATGGACAACGAAGACCGTGAGAACGAGGGTGACCTGATTGCAGCTGCAGAGTTCGCTACGGAGGAACGTCTGGCTTTCATGCTGCGTCACACGACGGGCATCGTGTGTGTGCCGGCACTTCCTCCTCGCCTGGACGAGCTGCAGCTTCCCTTGATGGTGGAGAACAACACGGAAGCGCACAAGTGCAAGTTTGCCGTTACGGTGGATCTGAAGGAGGGCAACTCGACGGGTGTATCTGCTGCTGATCGGTCGCGAACGATTCGTGCTTTGGCTGACCCAAAGGTCGGAGCTGCGGCGTTCAACCGGCCTGGTCACATCTTCCACAGGAAGGCGGCGTCATGGTGCGTGCTGGACACACAGAGGCGGCGATCGACCTGGCAAGACTGGCGGGGGCCAAGCCTGTGGGCTACCTGTGCGAAATGATGGGGGACGACGGCCGAATGCTGCGTCGCCCGCAGCTCCAGGAGTTCTCCAAGAAGCACGAGCTCCCGCTGGTTACCATCTCAGACCTCATTCGATACCGGTCACGTACGGATACGCTGGTGCAGCGAACCGAAGCCAAGGCGACCACGGTGCCAACTCCTTTCGGCGATTTCGTGTCGGTGGAGTACAAGTCGCTCGTACAGAAGGACCAAACGTACCATGCCCTCATTTTCGGCAACGTCAGCGCCCAGAAGAATGCTCCTGTATTCCTTGTCGAGGACGGCTTCGACGCTGAGTTGCAAGCGCAGTGGGCACAGAAGCACGTGGCCAGTCACGGCAGTGGCGTACTGATCTACATCCACGGCGCGTCTCAACTGCTCCAGATCAGCGGCGAGTTGATGGCGCGCCAGAGTATCTTCGGCATGGCGATGCAGATCGTGCGCGACCTGAAGGTTGAGTCGGTGCGTCTGCTTACGACGGCGGAGTTGGGTCTCGACCCGAATGGATTCGGCATTGAGATCGCCGGCAGCGAGCGTCTAGCGATGTCGGCGTAGACGGGAAAAGTTAGGGAGCAATGAACTGGGGAGCATTGGAGGAGAAAACCCGCAGCACATGGCGTTAGCTACTCACCATACGAGCAACTTCAACGCAAAGATCAGCAATGCAACAGGAAGTGTACATATACAGAATTTAATCGTCTAGTTCCCGTAGCCCAGCCTGCCCCCACGCGCGAGGGCGCAGGAACGCTAGTTGGAACTCTTCGTCGTCTTGGTGAAGCAATTCTTGATAAGACATTGTTGGTAGGGCCATACTTACCCCAGAAGCCTCGAGGCTTCTCTCGATCAGCTCGAACCTCGACGGCTCGCGTCGCGTGCTGTCAATGCCGTGCCCAGTTTTGTGCGGGCGAGGTTCCGTGTCCACTCGTTGCCGTTTCCAGAAACGATGTCAGCGATAAAGGTGTGCTGGGTTGAATGACACGAACCATGCCTTGGCCGTGAAGAAGGTCGAAGAGAACTGCTCGGTCTTGGTAGCCGCAATGCGCAGCTCAAGCTTCCTCGTAGCCTTATCGGAACTATTTCAAGCAAAGATATTCTGGGCGTACTTTGCACAAGCACTAACGCCATGTGCTGCAGGTTTCTGCTCCAATGCTCCCGAGTCCATTGCTCCCTAACTTCTCCCGGCGTAGACGGATAGGAGAGCTTTAGCCACCCGATAGAGTCAATGTTGAACAGCTAAGCCCTACATACATATTTGTATTTGTGCAGACTCTTCGAGCTGGAGTGCAGCGAACCCGGACACCAAAAAAATGTCTTCGCAATCCGCGTTGCAGGCCGCGCGCAAGGTGCAACATCAGCATGCTGGTCATCGCAAAAGCTTGGGACAGACCTGCACGTTGCTGTTTGCGTCAACCCGGCGCCAGCCACGTCACTCGCCTGCGCCCATTGGTCAATTTCAAGCCCGATTTGCACCAATCACTTCGATTCCATACCCTCTACAAATAAGTCACCTTCTTTATCGCCTTCTCGGTCTCAAAGGACACCCAATACAAAACGTGCTTCGCACGACCTCCGGCAATTGATACCAATTAGTGCCATGGCACGCAATCTATTCCGTCGTCGCTGGGATTACGGATGCAACGTCAGTCAAAGAGCCAAATCCCGTCTGGCTGGTCATTGCTACATCGCCCTCTTCCAGCTCAAGCCTCGCCCCTTACTCCCCGTCCGTCGCCATGGCCACCGGCACCACCTTCAGCGGCGCGCAGAACAACGTGGGCACGACGCCCATCGAGGACGCGCTCGAGACCATCCGCCAGGGCGGCTTCGTGGTCGTCATGGACAACGAGGACCGCGAGAACGAGGGCGACCTGATCGCCGCCGCCGAGTTCGCCACCGAGGAGCGCGTGGCCTTCATGCTGCGCCACTCCACGGGCATCGTGTGCGTGCCGGCGCTGGCCCCGCGCATCGACGAGCTGCAGCTGCCGCTCATGGTGGAGAACAACACGGAGGTGCACAAGTGCAAGTTCACGGTCACGGTGGACCTCAAGGAGGGCAACTCGACGGGCGTCTCGGCCGCGGACCGCGCGCGCACCATCCGCGCGCTGGCCGACCCCAAGGTGGGGGCGCAGGCCTTCAACCGGCCGGGCCACATCTTCCCGCTGCTGGCCCAGAAAGGCGGCGTCATGGTGCGCGCGGGCCACACGGAGGCCGCCACGGACCTGGCGCGGCTCGCTGGCGTCAAGCCCGTGGGCTACATCTGCGAGATGAACGACGACCACGGCCGCATGCTGCGCCGCCCGCAGCTGCAGGGGTTCGCGCAGAAGCACGACGTGCCCCTCATCACCATCTCCGACTTGATCCGGTACCGCGCGCGCACGGAGACGCTCGTGCAGCGCACGCAGCCCAAGGAGACGAGCGTCGCCACCCCGCTGGGACAGTTTGCTAGCGTCGAGTACAAGTCGCTCGTGCAGGAGAACCAGACGTACCATGCGTTGGTGTTCGGCGAGGTGGAAGGCAAGACCGAGGTGCCGGTGTTCCTCGTGGAGGACGGCTTCGAGGCCAGTCTCCAGGCCCAGTGGGCGCAGCACCACATCGCGCGTCACGGCTTTGGTGTGCTCATCTACGTGCACGGCTCGGCGCAGCTTCTGGAGATCAGCGGAGAGCTCATGGCGCACCAGAGCATCTTCGGCATGGCCATGCAAGTCGCGCGCGACTTGAAGGTGGGCTCTGTGCGGTTGCTGTCCACGACCAAGGTGAGCTTCGACCCCAACGGATTCGGTATTGAGATCGCGGGCACGGAGCGCCTCGCCACGTCAGCGTAAGCGTTAGGTAGACTTTGCATAGGACTCTTGTTAGAAAAAAAAATCGATGTGCCTACTCACGGGCAACTTCAAAATGAAAATGTATGCACCACAAGACAGCCATCGTAAATCATACAAAGCGCGTTGAAGCTGCGCGTATTGACAGAGCTGAGCTGCGGTGAGTTGAGCTCGAACGTGCTTCTAAGTTTCAATGCAGTCAACTCGCGTGTTCAACTTCCTCCTTCTAACTCACTCATTTGCGGGGAACCTGACGGTACGCTTTCTGCTTGGAGCGTCGAGAGCGCACAAAGAGAAGGTACCCGCCTACGGCTGCTACGGGGAGGATGTACCAAGCGAAGAGCGTCACAGGAGGTGCCGTGACACCCTGGAGACCGTCCTTGGGCTCGGCCTTCGTGTCGGCCACTAGCTCCTTGGTGTTCGCGGCGTTCTTGATGCCGAGCTCAGCGTCTTTCGGACGGTACTCGTCTCCGCCCTTCGGCTCGAGTAGGACGGGTCCAGTCGGCTTCGGTGTGGACTTCTCCACTGCGGCGTCCTCCTCAGCCTCCTCAGCAGTCTCAGCGGCAGTCTCCACCTGCTCCGTGGCGGGTGCTTCGGTCTCCTTCTTCACTTCACGACGCAAAGCGGCGGCCGTGCTCAACGGAGCAGTCACTTGAGGCTTTGCGAGAGGGACAACCACATCGCGGTAGCCGAACGTGTTGCCCAGCCATTTGTCCACTTCCACCATTTCCCACGCACCTTCACTGCCGCACGTCGGACAGTGCTCGGGCTTGGGCCAGATCGGGTGCCGCAGACGCTTGTTCACCGAGTTGTGCTGCTCCCAGAGCCAGCGACGCAGCGCCAGCGGCTTGTCCTCCGCGTCCTTGATCTTCTTCACGGCCTCGATCGTGTTCTCCGCCAAGAAGTGGTCGCGGCAGTTCACGCAGCCGAAGAAGTGCTTCATAAAGCGACGGATTGACGCCACCACGGACACCATGAGCTCACCACTGCGCGCTCCCGTCTCGGGAGGGTTCAACGTCAGCATGTGGAACATGTTCCATTGACCACAGGTGTACAGCGCGCACGCGCGGTAGGTGGCGCCTTGACCGAGGAACAGGTTGTTCAGCCGCTGCCACTCAGGCACCGTGACACCAGTGAAATCAAAACGAGCTTCCTCCGCGTCGAAGGCGGCGACTGAGCCCTCCTGCCACTCCTTGATAATGGCGTCCCACGTGTCAAAGTCCAGCAGCTCCTTTTCCTTCACCTTCTCGTACAGCGGACGAATAACCTTGCGGTTAATGGCACCTGGGAAAGTCTCCGATACCATCTTGAGCCAGCCCTTGAGTGCGTCAAACTCTTCATCATCCATGACATCGCTCGCCATGAACGCGCCCTGCTTAAGCCCAAACACAAAGGCCGACGCAGCGTCCTGGATGCGCGTCGTCTTGTTCATGGGCAGCGTCGACTCCTCCCAGATGGGCTTGAGCGTCTCCGTGGGTTTGGGCGTCTCCTTCTTGGCCTCCTCCTTCTTGGGGGCGTCCTTCTTCTCCTCGGGCTTCTTCTCCTCCTCCTTAGCCTTGTCCGTGTTCTCAGGAGGCGTGTATCCGGGCGGCCAGGTGCCCGTCTCATTGAACGCGGCCTCGGCGAAGACGCTGTTGACGTAGTCCTTGACCTCCTGCACCGTGTGGGTGCCGATGATGCGCTTGTTCTCCATCTTGGGGTTCTTCTTGTCGAAGTTGAGCGTCATGAGCGTCGGGAAGCCCGTGATGCCCACGCGGCGGCACTTGACGTGGTCCATGCAGCTCAGCGCGCCCACGTAGATGTTGCCCTTCTCCTTGTAGTACGCCGCCAGCTCGAAGTACGCTGGTGCAAAGTGCTTGCAGTGCGGGCAGCTATGTATCACATAACGTAGTGTATCACAACCACAAAAAGTATCATAACTCGGTCAATTCTCGCTGCATTCCAATGCAACCACCACGGAGAGCAAGACCGGACGCCGATCGTGCACGTACAAGGGGTGGTAGAAGTCGACGATCCACGGCTTGTCCGTCTTGGCCATGTGCTTGTCCCAGTTCTTGTCCGTCAGGTACGTGATGTTGGGGTGGCCGTCGGGGAACAGCGGCTCGCCCTTGTCCTTGGGGTCGATGGCCGCGCCCGAGGCGCCCGTGGCCAGCAGCGCCGCCAGCGCCCAGAGCAGCTTCATCTCTCTACTGTACGAGTCGCCGCCGCTGGACACGTGCAATGAGCTTGAACTGCCCGATGGGAGAGTGAGCGAGTGAGGGGCAGCGCAACAGTCATAAAAGACGACCAGATAGATGGGGGACAGGTTGGAAGCGTGGGCGTTTGTATGATAGGAATCCGGATACGTGACGGATAAGTTTGTTAAGATCGAGGATGACAGGTTTCGAGGTGCTGGCTAGCCACATTGCTGTGTGATGCCACACCAGGTTGCAGGAAGCAAATGGTGATGACGCCGCAGATTTGACCCGGAGGAAACTTCTGCAGCGCCGACGCCTGACGCCTTCGGGATCTGATGGCGCTGTGGAAATGGCCTTCGGGTCAGCTCTATGACTCTATGACTCGAGTACTACTAGTATTAGATTTAACTTATCAGGTTGGAGTGTTGTGTGTTCAGCAAAATGCTGATAGAGAGATAGATGGGTCGTCTGGGGGGGGGGGTCAAGGCGCAACTTTTAAGTTAAAAGTTTTAACATTCAACACTCGGAGATCAAGCGCAGAGACTGAGAAGTGGCGAGCCGCAATGCACACTGCAAAAGGTCCACCGACGTTAGGATCGACCTTCGCTGGCCGCGAGTTTCCGCCACGAACAGAGCAGGTGGGGACACACGCAGAGAATGGCTGATGTACTTGTCGCGGTTCGGACGAGAGTCTCCACCAAGACCAAGACCAGCAATGCCCACCCCACCACAATAGCCTTGAACAAGAACTGGAGTGCTGAGATGCGCGCAGCTGAAGACCAGGCGTGGCAATAAGTTGCTACTAGGTAGGGGTCACCTCAATCGAGCGCTGTCAAGGTACAACTACAAGTTTGATTTTTGTACTATTTCTCCTCTGAACTGCCATTGTATTGATCTGGTCAAGTGAATGGCTTTTTTGCAGGCGATTCTGGAGACGATCAAGGTCGTGGCGAGCAAGGCTGGATCCGATTCCAACTTGGAGGTAACTTCATGCCGTTGCATTTAATCCTCGAGCGCCAACTGACTTATGGTTTGTACTTTGTTCATCGTAGATAGAGCCACGCGGACGAGCTGCGTCGTGCGTGTCGTTGGTTGCCGTGGCTGAGGGTGATATAAAGCCCCTGATAGCTGCAGTACTCGATCGTCAAGCAAGCGTTGCTGAACGCCACCTCCAATAACGGTGCGCTTCCCGGCGGCGTTCTCTCTGGAATTGAGATGTTCGTTATGCTCGCGGTGGGCTTTGCGGTTTAACTTTTAAGCATTTAAAAATAAGCTGGCTGCTCACGTCCGAGATGATGAAGGCATCGGTATGGGTGGTTATTGCACCCCTCGGACGAGACGCGGCTCACCAGACGGGAGACGTAAAACCTCGAGAGACCGTCTCCCGAGGTTTTACGTCTCCCCGAAACTCCCGGGGAGACGCAGTTAAAAGAAACGATAGTGTACTGCGTCTCCCGTTTCGAGAGAGCCATTCAGCAAACACTTGGAACTTGAAACCTGGAAGATAGTTCGCGGTTCCAGGGAAAATATCCTTCAGCATGCTCATTTTTTTACCTGAAACCGCGAAAAATGTTCCAATATTACCTCGTTTTAGTGACAAGGTTTCAGGTATTCCCAGGAGCTTGGAACTTTTTAATCGAATAGAAGGTCGTGTGGGCCACACCACCAAGGATGGCGGAGCCGTGCATGCTGCGGAGACAGCTCAGCTCGACTGAGGGCGCGCTCTGCTGCAATAACAGCACCACGAACTTTGCGTGCGCGCACAGGGACTTAAGCACCCGCGTGCCATCGAGAGCTCTCCAGCACGGCCACCACACGCTCTGTTGAGCCCCCTCCCGCCGCCGCGCGATCTCTCGCGTGCATACCGTCGTGCGCACGCGATCAGGCAGCCCGCCACGTGCGCTGCTTGGCGCTGCTTGTCGTAGGCAATCCTTACTTGGCAGTGACCACTACCGCAAGTCGCATGTAGTGAGCTGCACCCAATGTTCATGAGCAAGATACAACCTTCCAAAATCAATATTCAGACGACTCATAAAAACAGAACACCGATCTATTTGCATTACACGACAGCTTCCTCGATAATGCGGTCGAAGTCTTGGTCAGCGTCCACAACTGGTCCAGCCAACGAAAGTTGCTGCAGCTCATCTACCAGCGACGCCGCGGCGAGGCACTCGTTGCTCAGCTGCAAACTACACTTCTTGTACCCATTCGCAATAGTGTCGGTGCTTAGTCCATCCCAGCTACGGCGCACCCACCTGCACATTCCGGCACGTCCTGGAGGTTCCAGCTTGAACTTCTCGCCCTCTGGGCGCGGCTGGTTTAGCTGCGCCTGCATGTCGTCGAGCCACAGCTGCCGGAGCCCCCACTTGAATGGGAAGTTCCATGCTGCATCTGCCGGTTGGCAGACGGCGGTGGCGTTCGGCGGAACCTTAATCAAAACGACCTTGATCGAAGCAGCGTAGAGAAGCACTTCCGAAGTCCAGTGTCCGCTAACGTCGTCCCAGAGAAGCAGGATGGGTTCCTCTGAGAACGACCGGTTGCCAAAGTGAAACTTTAGAAATCGTATCGAAAGATCTCTATTCCACCAGCCTAGCATACAAAACCAAACCATGATCAAAATTAGTATCATAGAATCCCATCACAATGACTTCACAGCATGAGCCCACCTTTTTCGTTCGTGTAAATCTGCAGTCCTGTTTCCTCTTTGATGCGCTTGATTTTCGGCCACGTCCGAACACCGAATCCACAGCGCTTCTCGTTATTGGCCTTGACAGTTTCCTTGTTCTTGGATGGCTTCATCTTGAACACGACGAACGGCGTGTGCTTGACCCGTTCAAGTCCCCCAACACCATCATTGTTGCCCGTTCTTTTGAAGACCCCGCGCACTTGACCCAAACCGTTTTAGCACTACGGGCATTGATTGTTTTCTTCATTGGCAAATATTCAAAGAAAGCAGCTTCATACATACACACATTTAAATTAGCTGTGTTAAAAAAAAAACTTGTCCGACGCCCTGAAGGAGGCGACACCAGCCTCCACAGTAATCCGCTGAGCTTGGAAAGTTAGCATTCGGGGCGACACGGGTAATCCATGCTACGATCTCTAGCTCAACAGATTCAGAGAGAATGGTCCCTACCCCAACGCTTCGCACCTTTAGATGGCTACCTTTACGCCCTTTTAGAGCTGCCTCGAGCTTGGCTGAATCCCTTCGCCAGCGCTGGATCTTGGTGCGCTTGGAATTGTAGCGTTCCGGCGCTAGTTCTGGCCAGAAGTGCGCAATAGTACTGCGCATCTTGGGTAGAGGGGCAGATGCCCAGAACGCGAGAACTGTCAGCTTCTTCTCCATCGAAATACCCTTAATTAGGTGCTTCATGTGGTGGCGCCCCTTGCCTCCGAGGCGCGGTCTGCCCACAGGGCGCGGCTTAACGCGCGTCATGGCAAAAGCCGAATGTCTGTGATACAATGCTGGTGCCGTCAGGCTTGCGGCTAATTGGTTGGTTTGGGGCTTGTGCATCTCTCTACATGCGATTCAGGGACTGCTGCTCAATGCTTTTTAATTGGCTAATATCAGGGTGCAGCTCACTACATGCGATTTGCGGTAGGCAGTAGGAACGTCTCTCCTTTCTTGCTGCTGGCGTTCATGCCACACGCCGGCGCTCGCGTGGCGAGTGAGTGGTACGGCCATTATAAAAAAAGTCAGACTGCCCAAAAAAGGTGAAGTTCCACCAACATTCTGGTCGGGAGCACACACACACAAATAGAGGCATAACCACCAAGACATAAATAGGCTGCCATACAAAAGAGCTGCTGAACACTTCAACACTTTAGCACTTTGCAGCAATGAGTGACCGTCCGACGATGGAGACCACATAGAGCTGCAACTGGGGACGTCCGCATCTGAAGCTGAGACTGAGCATGAACAAACGGGGCGGCCACCATGGGCGAAGATCTTCAAATCTAAAGCGTCTGGAGCTCTAGAAGATTTTCGAAAGACTCTACCGACAGTTTGTATCGACAAATGTACACAAGTTGGCTGCACTATTGGCCACTTGTCTGATAGAGATACAGCCTTGCTCAGACTAGCCGCGACATGAAGTCTCGAATGGTTCTCTGTCGATCTAAGCGGTGCAAAACCCAGGAGGAAGGCGGCGCAGCGTCTAGTTTGTGTCGCTACAAGGTCAAATCCTGCCTGTCGTCCGGTGCGTGCGAAGTTTTCTAGCAGGGCGAGCATATAATGGACATCAATGACCCCCCCCCCCCCCGAAACGTGCACTTACTGCAGAGATGAAGGACTACATAAAGACGAGCCTCGACAGCGGTGGGAAACCTACGGCGTCCAAGTTGTATGCAGGCATCTGTGCAAAAGTTTTCCATGGTGAGATGATCGGGCCAACTCCTAAAGATCAGCAGGTAGCCGACTTTGTGAAAAACTACAGACGTGACCGCCCAAAGCACTCCATGCAGCCCATGATCGACCTTTGCAATGCGCATTTGTATAATAATTTGGAGACTATCAGATATGGAGATGGTGATTTTGTGTGATACCCAGCCCGATTCTCGAGCTGGGGCTGCTGGTACAATGAACCATATTGGTGATGGCCCGAAGGAGTATCCTCTCCGGGTTGGTATGACCTGTCTTCGTCTCGTCCGAGACTATGTGGACGTGCAAAGTCGGTCCCAGTGCACGACCATGTTTCATCTCGACAGTACGCACAGCATGGTGATAAACGGGTATCTGGTCTTTGCATTTGGATATTCGGATCAAAGTGGACATTTCTATCTACTTGGAAGTTGCGAATGGGCGGCGGACCACGGTCGTGGTGGTCACCACGCACGCCATCTACGAGGGAGACGAGATTACCGTGGACTACGGACCGGATCTTTGGTTCGTGTGCCGCTGTGGCCACGCGAATTGCCGCCACTGCGACATCCAAGACGAGCAAGACCCGTAGGCGGCGCTCTCAAGGTCGAGGTCTGGTTGAAGTCAAGAAGAAGTAGTGGGAGATTTACAGCAATTGGTAAGGACATTGTATTCAAATCTGGTTCGCTGTTGAATCTAACTGCGTTGAAGTGCATCTATCCCTTGTGCCTTGCCTTTGTTGTTGACGTGCCAGCAGAGATCGCCGTGAACTTGGCGCCAAAATGAACGCTGTGAGCTGCTATTTGCCTCTATGTTAATCTTTGTATCAACCACGAGCTCGCTCAGTTTGCGCGCCAACTAGGCCCACGAGTAGCTGTACGCGCCAACGCAGTACGCGCCAACTTCAAGTAGCAGTACTGTGTTTGCCTTGCTGGAGCCTCCTTCGGCGACGGAGAGGAAATCAAGCTCCTGTCGCTCTCATTATTGTTTTTTTCAAGCCTAGCTCAAGTCCACACCCCCACTCGACCCCGCTCACCTCCTCCTACCCCGTTTCCGGTACGCTGCTCTCCTCATGAAAGCTGCCGTCGCGTCACCTTGGCACCTACGGTTACTATTTGACACTCACAACCTCGTGTATTTGCTTTGATTATAGATGGCGAAGTTGAGTGGAAGCACTAACTACAAGTTGTCCGAAGTGCGCCGCCTCCTGACGCTCGTCGAACACTACCTCCCGCTTGGCAAGGACGAATGGGAGCGACTCGCAAACTCCTACAACGCGAACCGAGGTGGTGGTGTCGCCGAGCACGACCACGAGAGCCTCCGTCGAAAGTTCAAGGTGCTCTACAATGCGCGCAAACCTACGGGCGTGGCCAACATACCGTCACATGTGCAGCTGGCGAAGCAGTTTAAACAAGCTATCGACGACAAGGCCAGCGTCGTCGACATGGAGGACGGTGCCGACGTCGACCAACAAGAGGAGGAGTATGAGCAGGACTTCTCGTTCGACTTCGAGGATGAGGAGGGGCCCGGGAACAACACGCGCGAAGACGCCGACGCTGACATGGGCGGAAGCACCACCACTAACGACTCGATGCACTCCGGCGAGACGCCGACGTCGGTCGGTGACAGCGTGGGCAACGCGGACCTGTCGGAGCTGCTCGACGTGGCCGGCGTCTGCGAGGGGCTGGAGGCATTCGCGACGCCGTGCCCTCCTCCGCCGTCGGCTCAGTCGATGCAGCGAAAGTTGCGCTCTAGGTCAACAAAGAAGGTCGGGCAAGGCCCCACTGCTGCTGCTGCAGCAGCAGCAGCAGCTGCCGCTGGCGCATTTACGACAGCAGCCAGCGCTGCTAAGGCTAAGTATGGGTCGCAGCAAGGCGCTAAAGGGCGCGCGCCGAGCAAGAAGGAGTCCAAGCCGAAAGGCTACGCGACTTCCTCGAACCGACTCGGAGGTATCGACTTGGGTGACTTTCGTGACACCGTGGGGCGCAAGCGTGCCCTCGAGGACGACAAGGAGCTCTCGGAGGCTAGCTTCGCCAAGGCGAAGCGCGTGAAGGCTGCCAGGGCGACCGCCGAGCTCAAAAAGCGTCTGACCGACTTGGAGAGCAGCGCCAGCAACATGGGCGGCTCCATGTTTGAGATGATGCTGCTAATGCGCGATGAGAGCGAGCGCAAGGCTGAGCTCCGCCGCGCTGAAGAAGAGCAGCGTCGCCGTGACAAGCTTGCTGCTCGCGAAGCCCGCTACCTTGCCGACAAGGCGGAAGCAGAGGAGCGTAGCCGTCACAAGAGATTGGAGACGGAGGATCGGCGCCGTCAGGAGAAACAAGAGGCGGAGGAGCGCGCCCGTCGTGACAAGGAAGATGCTCGGGCTCGCACTCAAGAACTGTTGCTCATTCTGGGCGCTCTAACGAAGAAAGACTGAGCCGCAAATGCTCTAGCGTGCAAGGAGATCGAAAGAGGGAGGAAGTGCATTTAGTAGCGTATCATCTTCAATACAGCCCTTAGTCGCAAGCAATAGGTTTGTTGCGAGGATTTGCAGCATGTATTCGATTGTAGCTATTAACGTGCATGCTGCACGAACGAAGGTGCACTAGTACGTGAAAGCTACGAACGGAGATGCAAAACACTTCATCCACACCACGACAGCGTTAGTTGCTCGGGAATCTCCATCGCGCCGGAGAACGTGGTCTTGATCTCTGGAATCCCGACTGTGCGAACTCTGTAGTTCGCAAGCCGGAATAGGTTGCCGATGCGCATGCCTCGTAGGTTCGGGTCGTAGGGCAGCGGCAAGTTGAGTCTGCTATAGACCTTTTGCACGCAACCCATTCCCCATTCGGCAGCCTGGCGGATGGAAGTGATAGCACTGTGTAGGGTGCGTGCAGTGGCGCGCAGTGAAGGCTCAATTTTCTCGATATCTCCGTCCTTCAACGGGGTGAGGATTCGCCCCGTCATGGCCGTGGAGCACGGGAAGGTGGAATCGGACACTACGCTCATACGACCATCAGGGCAGTACTGGGGGTCCGTCAGCTTGCCGCGGAACTCCAAGGACGTGTCCGAGTCGTTCCACGACCCCGGACAGTTGTGGCGAGACCAGATAATGCAGCCATCCGCTGCAAAGCAGATCGTGCCGGTTACGAAGACCGAGTGCAGCCAGCCATTGTACATGGCATTCTGAAGGTCTGCGTTAGAAGGCTCTTGCACCTACACAACACATTGCAAAAGCGTTTAGAGTTATTGAATATACAAAATAAAAGGCAAGTTCAAGAGCATGCATACGTACACGAAGGGTTTTACCATCTATAAACCCGAACGTGTGGGTGAGCAATGGCTCACGCTTGTTGCCATCCGCGCCAATTCTACCTGGCACGAGGGTGAGGGCCACGAGATACGCGCAGGCGCGTAGCCGTTCAGCGCCCGCACTAACGCCTCTTCGGCTTTGCGCAGCGTCCTGGAGAGCGTGCTGGGTGGGGCCCCAAAGGTGATGCATAGGGAGCTCTGCTCCATCGACCCGACGTAGAAGGTAAGAACGAGACCCAGCACATGGTGTAAGTAGCGCAGCTTGGGTGGGCTCCCTTTCGACGAGGTGGCGTCATGTAGTAGAAGCAAGATAATCTACAGAGCAACTGATCAAACGCGCTACTGTACTCGTAGCAATAGTGTTAGAATAGAAATATAATACAGACCTTTCAAAGAACTCACCGTGTCAGACTCGTAGCGTTCAAGAAGTTGATGTCAGTGCCGTACTCGTACAGCGTCATCCAGCCGGATGCACACGGCGCGTCGAGACACTGCGTGGTGAGGTAGTGGCGCTCGCGCATGGCGACGCGCCACTCCTCCTCCAGCAGGAGTTGATGAACGTCGCGGCGGGCGTCGCGCACGCGCTCCGTGTGCGTCTTGTACGCCTCGTAGAGAAGCAGGATCACGCCGTCGTCTCCGTCAATCATTGTCGCGCTTGCACAGGAGGGAGTAGGAAGGGAAATGGCGAACTTCAAGCCTACTATTCGCGAACTTCTAGCGGATCTGGAAAGATTCAGCTCCAAAGTGTCCCGCACTAATTGTCCTATAGTGTGATCAAAGACTTGAAATGAGACTATTAGGATCGACCAGAGTTTGCTCGGCCAAACTTTAAGATATGTCGACATATTTTCGTGTTAAGCCTGTCATATCTGCTGCATCTATGTCGGGTGATTTCTCTATTTTTGGTAGGCCCACCCATTCGAAAGCAGCTATTGCGTACTTACTAGTTTCTACTGTGTGAGGCACATTCGCACTTAGCTCATTTCTACTGGGCAATCCAGTACTTTTTCTGGATCATGGTAGTTCCTCGAGCAGTTACAGATCCGCGAGCGCGCTCGTGAGGTTCTGCTCGTGCTCGTTCCCGCGAGCAGTGCTCCCGCTTAGATCGTGGGATGCTTGGTAATAGTCACTCTCAAGGATCAACCGTGAGTGTAGTGGATGGCTATCTCCAGCCTGTCCAGCTAGTAGCTGGCAGCTAACCCGAAGTCGTTAGAGCAACGCTAAATCTGCCCATCATTGTGTTGCCTCAATTAACACAGTATAAATATGAGATGGGGCGTATTGTACGCGCCCCGTAATGTTTACTTCAATCTAAACGTTGGTTTGCTTCATGTGGCTCATTCGCAAATTTGCGGACGCAGTGCTCGTCGCCGCCGCCCACTGACGAAGGCTCGCGTGTCTTGCGCCGATAGGGATAGATTGGATGCAGAACTGTATGATAATGTTCAAGCGAATATACACGTTTGAGGCTAGTAAGCTTATTGCTTTGTATTATTGCGTTTATGAGCGGGAGTGAGCAGTTACGAGATCGCGTTGCCGCAGCAAACAAGCGCGGGGTGCCCGCGAAGTAGGACCGCGCGGTATTCGTCGAGGCGGGGCCAGCACATTCCTGCGAACGGACTCATGCCGCACATCGGCGTTAGTTCTTCTACAGCGGTGGTCTGGGGTTATCCCCCAGAACACACCGGCACGTAGCGCTCGGCCCGTATTACACATGTAGTGTCGACACACAAAATAACGATGCGTAAATTACGCTTTCCCTGTCGGTGATTGTGTTTGTGTTGCCTGTGTTAGTGTTGCCTTGTGTTAGCGTTGCCTGTGTTAGTGTTGCCGTGTGTTAGCGTTGCGCGTGTTGCCCTATGAGCTCAAGTTAGTGTTGCTCGAATGGGCTCCATCAGCAGCATCACCAGTGGCCGCAGTCATTCACTGCAAGCGTGGTGGCTGCAGCCATGTACCTTACTCATAACGCAAAGTAGGGTGACAAGTGCTGGGCATAACGCAAAAGCTGATACCCAGCCAGAAATCAAGTGTACTACATGTACTGTATCACGGAAATCTTGATGACAACCGAACTACAAGTTAGATTACGGCTGCGGCTTCACTGGTTACTGTACTAACCTAACCAGTGGTTAGCAGGAGCCGCACCACTACATGTATTATCCTGGGAGGACAGCTAGAAGAGCTGTATGGACAGCCTCACACAGATTAATTCGTCGAAAAAAAGTTGCTTGTACCTCAGGCAACATTTAAACAACATCTCGCCACACCATACTCACACAAACGCACACCATACCTATACAAATATAGCCATATTGACATCCCGACCGGTACCACACAAAGCCAATTGACAATGAAATGAGGACAGCGCTAGCGACAAGAGAATGCAGGATGACCAATCAGCCTACAACTACACTGTATTCCATAGTTCCTAGTTACTGACGGATAAACTGAGGATGTCTTACGTCCACGCAGCTGAGCTCTTGGCCTACAAAGTAAACCTGTCCGCCTGGATTTCGGGCAGCCTCGCTGGCATTAGATCATTGGCTCCATATAAAAAATGGTGGTCGGCGCTGCAAACGCTTACGTTCTTAGCTCTTGGCCTACAAACTATAAAATCTGTCCGGTAGGCAGCTTCGCCGGCAGTAGATAGTTGGCTCCATATAAAAAGGAAAATTCCGGAATATGACTCACAATGAAATTTTGTGCAAAAGGTGATACAAGGTTTTGTGCCAAGTGCATTTGGCCATCGATAGCGGCCAGCACCTGAATGCCATGCACGTCGCTGAATGCACCAATTGTGTCAGTATAGCACTGGGTAAACGCGAAGGCGGTGCCGGTGTAGGCATGGCCCTCTGCTGATAGTTGTTCTGGTGGAGTACGGTCGCCTTCTGTGTCGCTTAAGCGACACTGCCCACGCTGCATAAAGTATCACCGACGGCTTGGATGTCTTACTCCCCATGTCGCCGCTGGAGGCAACAATGTCGTGGCCCAATGCCCTAGCAAATGCTGCTGAACCTGAAATATGTGCTCTCGACACAAATCCTTCTATCACCTTTTGCACAAATTTTAATATTGAGTCACCTTCCTGAAATTTCCCTAAGAAAAATGATGTAGGCGCTGCAAATGAGGGGCTATGTCCCTCATTTGCAACTAAAGAAGAAATCTATTAGTTTCTTCAAAGTGTGCCAGTATGAAAAATATAGTTGTACTCGAGTTGGTAAAATCGAGCTAACGTTAGATACACCCGAGCAGACTTTTTGGAATTTAAAGTAGTCCTTCCAGCCTAACGCAACGCACCCTTGTTAAGGGTTAAAATAACGCGAAGTCGGCTTGCTATAGATACAGACAATCCCGTTGGTAGTCATGGCGTTGAGCGAGGGTCCAATCTACAGGAGGAAGTAGCGTATGTACAGAGGAACGGGTCGGACTACAGAAACCGTGTATGATCTACAGAGGGCGCGGTGTGATTACAGAAAGCCGCAGGCAATTTACAGAGGATGGTGCCAAAGTACAGACGCGGACGCATCGATTGGTGGATGTCTTTGGTGCTTGGGTCGAGCGCCTCTCAATTGGCCAGAACCAAAATATGTAGGCGTATCCATACGGTCAGAGTGGACAGTACGCTTGCGATGCATTTCTAGTGGATACGCGTGAGGGTCTCAAGCGTACAGGTCCGAGCTCGTACTCCAAATGAAGCAGCTTAGGGAGATTTTTAAAGCGCAGTACATGTATGATAAAGGAGCGGCATCAGGCAGTACTGCTAGTGTGGGTCTTCTAGGGAGGGTTGCCTACCGCTGTGTTGAAGGGCTCGCTTTGAATGAGCAGCGCCGCCACAGTCGACTACAAACCGCTATGTACGGACGAGCGTACAGTAGAGGACTTCACGACGATCCAGGGGTGCCGCGTAGGCTGAGCCGCACAAACAGATACAGGATGCCACGATACGGTGACACTGACGTCTTACCGTGTTATGGTAACACGGTCACCACACCGTGTTATCATAACACGGAAAACGTAGAATCTCGCGCAAATAGCAACCTGAGAGTTGGTGTCGACGCTAATGACCTTTAAAACAGCCTGAGGGTATGCACAACGGTACCGGGCTACCCCATTAAGCGTAGCCATACCGAATGCGCTAGCCACAAACTTATGCAGTGCGATAGTTGCAGTCCACGGGCGCCCCAGTGTGTAGAAGCAGGGATCGGAAAATAAAAATTGATATTGTAAAATTGTAATATTGTTGGGCATCAATATTGTATTGTAGCGATGCCATCAATATCCACTATTATTGTCAATATTGTTCAGGAAGAAAAACTGCCCCTACCTTCTCTTACGATATTAAAGAGCACTATGAGCTAGTTTTCCTCTCCTTTTTCCGTGGCTGTTGCCTATTGAATACTTCTGACCGCCTTAATTAATGCATGTTTTGAGCCTCGGTGAGAAAGAAGCACATGATCGTGTCCGACAAGGAAACCTAGTCCTGTCGACTACTCCAAAAGTCATATGTTTTCTGAAGATCAACCAATTACAGAATGCTATTTCTCGTAGCCCTATCGTGACCTAGCCCACTTGAGCTCATGTTTCTTGGCCGATTCAAACCTTCATGTTTGAGCGCCTATAACGAAAAACCGGCTGCGAATTGGACCGTTTTGACCACATTTTTGGAATCTAACAGCCCTTCGCTGGTCATCAGACCCCAATCCATCGTCAGTACTTAATCGAGTCTCAGTTTTTCACGTTTCGCGACGAGTCAGCGAGCGACTTATTAAGGCGCCGAATTAATGCTACATCGCCCAGTTGAGTTGGCCAGCTCCCTCTGAGCGGTGTATCGGACGTGCGACTGAAGCTGCAGTTTCCGTGGCGCCGCGTTCGATCGCTTCCTGAGTATTCGAGGTTCTTAACGATGCCAGACGTCCAGTCAGCTAGCCCATTTGTCGCTCACCGCCGACGGCTTTGGGACAAATCTTTTTATCCATTTGTACCGAACTGTCGTCGTCATTTTCCTGGTGCGGGTTGAGCGGATCCTGCAGTTAACGGAGGAAGCATCAATGATGTCGCACCGGCTGGGCGGCACTGGTCGAAAACACCAGGAGCTCAGTGAGGACTCGTGTGCGGGGTAAGACGAACGTTGTGTTGGAGAAGTTTGGGGAAATCACGGGGAAATGCCCCGCCAAGACCTCGATCAAGTCGCTGGCGTACGAAGGCGAAAGTTACGTAGACTTGCTCTCTCTCTTATCGAGCTATGGTTTTCTCCATGAGAGTAGCCTTGAGGTCCGCAGGGCTGCACTTCTGTTTTCTTTACAGCCACGTAATGGCACCAGCGTGTATACGTAATAAATTTGAGCAGATACTGCGACTACGTGCGAAAAGACTTCGTATGCGTAGGAGGGGGGACACTTAGTCCTCAGAGCTGCAGCGTTACTGCGGTACCTACGTCGGTGATAATAACTTGGCTTGTGTCCTTGGCAACAGACGTCATGAAAGAGGGCGAGGTACCCCAACCGAGTCTCTAACATTGCTCGTCGATGCTTCTGTCTGGTCACTTTCGCTTTAGACACTAGGAAGACCGTCAATCATGTTCGGACACGTACAGTTAGGGGTAAAGACTCGCTTACCATTGGGGATAAGTGCCATGACGATTCATGCTAACATTACTCAACGTACTCATATACTAGTACTCTAGTACAGTACAATATATCGCCATACTAAAGGCAAGTATGGCAATATGTTGTGGCAAATATTGATATTGGTACAATATTGATTCATGCTCTTTCGTAAGACGATACTTAGCCCCAGAGAGCCTACCGTAAGACAAAGCGTCTTACGTTTTGCAATCAACGCATTTTGGCTACATCTTGGTTTTAGTATACCAGTGGCTACATTGTATTTTGTCCGTCAAAACGTAAGACAGTTTGTCGGACAACAATTTGCACCATGCGATTGGCCAAAACTTACTGCACGAAAGAGGGTAGTGTCGTTGCGTGCGTTCCTCCGTTGAGCATGTAGGAACCCGAGGACAACCGCTTTGCCGTTTTTGAATTGCTCGTGCCACCTACAGTCGAGCCGACGAAATAAGGCGCTCACAAGCACGAACATGTAGTCGGTAGTGCGGCCCTACTGCCGACTACAATGTACACGCTTGTTTGAGAATGGTTAAGAAATAAATGCACCCGAACCATTAGCCCAGCTTGACAAACAAAACGTTCAGGGCTTTATAGTGAATTCTAGTTAATGCATAACCAAATAGAGCCCCTCTTCCTCCGGTAGTGCGGCCCACGAACCCTGTCGTGTCCTCTGAGGACGCCTCCGAGCGAAACAATGCACGACGAGCGCGCACACATGCTCCGCACCGAGGCGTTGTCGGAGGACGCGAGGGAGTAAACATTCAATACATTATGTATGGGATCTTACCAAAGCCATGAAATGAACTGTTTTGTAGTAGCAACAAGGCAGCGTCAGCCAGTCTTGGTATTTGTATTTGTTGCGGTTTGCTTGGCTGCCTTACTCCCGGAGGCGCACACTGCTGCAGCTCCACCTACGTCGGTAGTGGACACCTCCGACCTCACCCGCGGCCACGTGTAGGCAAGCTGTTGGTGGTGTCGCAAACGACGTGAGGGCCTCTAAGAGTCAAATGAGCGGCGAAACTTCTCGGGAATACATGAAAAATGCCAAAGCTAATGTAATTGATCAGCCCGGCTGAAGGCGCTTACCAGTTTGCTCGGCTTGCTACTGTAGTACTACGAAATCTAAACGATCTAAGCTCGCCGTGGTGTTTTAGATATGTAGAGGGAGTTTGTTGGTGTCGCAGCGCTCCTCCGCACAGTTCTATCGAACCGCCAATCATTACTACCACTACTACGCTGCGCCCGATATTAGTCAGGATACGAAGTGCAACGAAATGCATCAAAAAGAGTAGCGAAGAGGAACGCGGGCCTTCCTAGCAGAGCCTCTGCGCCTGGCAGTGCCAACAGAATTGGCAAGTCGTACTATTCGCCAATCAAATCACTAGATTTGATTTGTCGTCAAACTGTCTTACGAATGCTCGACACAAGTGATTGTGATGACTGCCTCGCCGACAATCAATATCCAATATATATTGTCCGATCCCTGGTGTAAAAAGCTGTAACTCATGAGTTCGTGCCCAAGAGCGGCTAAGAAAGCTACCGCCGGCGGACGCCGATCCGCGAGTAGACATGAAGTAATTTCGGCCGTTGGCTTTGATGATCGTATTAGCTAAGTGACAACAATAGTTGCCTCAATTCAAAAACAAACAAACAGTCGACCCTTGGCTGAAACGTGCCACCTTCGTTTTTGGCAGCGTGGCTGTTCAAAACATGGTGGCAATGAGGCTGCTTTCTCCTAGCGGTGAAAACCTTAATACAGGGAGATCTCAGAAGGTGTGAGTGTTGCGGCCGCGACCCTCACACTAGCCAGCTCTCAGTCTGGATATACGATCCCTCCAAATACTTAGAGCAGCACACACGGAGTGCTTCAGTCATACTCCTTTAGAGTTGGTCGTGAAGTCACTGGTGGATGGTAGATAACTGACTACGGTAGTCAACATATCTGCACGTATTAATACACGTACACGAGCATGCATGGAGGCAAAGGCTGTCGACCACCTAGCCGGGAGACCACTCTGTCGCGATGGCTCTTGGCCCACGACGGCTTGGAAACGCCACCACACCACCAGCACTGAGTTGTCGGAAGGTACTTTGGCGTTACAATGCGACCTCTGGTATACCTCAATGGTGCCTTGGCCACTTGACCCGGGTGTTGCTGAGCGTGGCCATCTAGCCCTATTTCGTGTTGACCGTCACGTCCGAGCTGGTCGGGTTCATGGGGAACCTATTGTACTCATACACCTCTCACCCTTTGGGACCGCACGGGATCTTTATCAAAAGGGGCCACAAATCCATCAGCTCTTTATCATCAAATTTTGGGGCCACAAACCTGTCAAAGAGTTGGACTTAGCGCAGTACCGTAAGAAGTACCGTCGATAGCCGATTGCTGTCCAGGCGACCGGTACAGCGTTGCAGTGATCTTCCGCTTATGAGCTTTATGAGGCTCCTTCATGTAACAAAACATTCCTCGGATCCATTTCTATTTGCAGTAGTATAATAAGTTTAGTTTATAGCTAAAACGCGCAATAAGTGACGTAAAGGCATCGAAGAGAGGAAGCTATTGAGCAGAATAAATGTCGTAGCGGAATTTGACACTTGCATCAACTCTTTAGTGGGAGAGCTCTAAAAGATCCTCTATTAAGCGCGTAACTAGAACTATAAAGTCCTGGTGTCGCTGTAGGCTGTTCCTAATTGAATGTCATTCCAGGAGTTCTCGTTGCTATGTCTTCCCTTTCAGCTTCCTGAAAAGGGCACTCTACCAAAGCAGCACTGAATTTTAGCTATACAACATTTTCTGTTGAGCACCTCTGGGCAACGATAGTGAAATACCTTGCACAAAATTATTTACGCCGGAACCTGCAGATATCTGTCAACCGGGTCTGCTTATTAGGCCAACAGTTTGTATCTGTGAAACCGTTCCTATACTACATGACGACTTGAAGTGCTCCGAATGAATGCAAGAACTGCAACAAATCAATTGGAGTTACTTACCGTCTATATTTGCAAACTGCATGCACGGCTAAAGGTTGAAACAGTCGATCAAGCCAGTGGGCAAAGGCTTTTGGCAAGCTTAGACTACGGCAATGTTACCTGCAACTTATCGCGTAGTAGTTAATGCAATCATAGATGACTCGAATGCCAGACCGGTCTTAATTTTATTTCCTGAATCGATGGCGCCTTGCTCTGAGTACCAGCACAACACGGCACCCTTTGGCAATGCTTGTCACTGGTAACTCGATCTACACTTGTGTGTACAAGGTGCATTTAGGTTAATTACTACCGCGGAACTTTTACCGTAGACGAGTGCCTGCACGAGCACATCATCGACATGTTGGGTTGAGCTGAGGGGGTACATAACGTTCTAAACCGCGACAATTTCTAACTTAGATTAACTACCGCATCTCGATCTACAACTTGGCAGCGCCCATGTTAATCTTGAAAGGCAATTAGGACGGCACACAAGCAGCGCTAGTTTATTTTTTGCTGGTAGCGAAGGCATGAGTATGCAAACAACCGGGTGCTGTCCTGTGGCAAACGTTCCACACCGGTAATTCAAGCCATTCTTCGAAGGTTGCACAATTTTGAGCACGCTTAAGTCGTTTCGGATGCATTGCTGGTTTGCCATAGCTTATTTTTAAAAATTACTGGTAATTTACAACGTGCATGCTCGATGTACCCCATATGCTGACGAGCAAACTCGATGGCGATCCAATGTGGTGTTACTGGATCGTGATATTTCCTTGAGGTCGTACGAAGTCCTGGAGCAAGTACGTAATGGACTACTAGTCAATTGGTTTATACATGTACGTATCTGCAGCAGTTCTGTAATGAACCGCAAAACGTGCCTAGATTAGACTTCGTTGCGACGCGTTCCGCTACTTGAGTTGCGTTGCAGTTTGACACCTGTGCTGCAACGCTGTACCGGTCGCCTGGACAGCAATCGGCTATCGACGGTACTTCTTACGGTACTCTTTGACAGGTTTGTGGCCCCAAATGATAATGTGCTGATGGATTTGTGGCCCCTTTTGATGAAGATCCGACCGCACGAGCAAGAGAGTATCATGATGCCCTTACCGAAGGCGACGTAAATCACCATGAGTTAGGCGTCGTCGGTGAGACGCTCGACGCTGAGCCGCCCGTCTAAGCTGGGGTCCGCCCTCGCATAATCGACACAGGCTACCGAAGTCAGGAGGACCAGAATAATCTACGGGACCAGGCAGGCTGCCTCGTGTGCGTTCTTGGGCGAGAATGCGCTGCGGTAGAATAGATCTCTTTGAATGAACATCAGAGGCACAGTAGACTGCAAGCTGCTATGAACGGACGCACGGAGCTAGTAACGCGACGATCCAGCGCTGCCGAGCTGGATCAATAGTTGTAGGAGGCCAAGATACGGCAACAAGGACGTCTCACCGTGTTATGGTAACACGGTAATCTTACCGAGTTATGGTAACAAACCGGTCGACACAGAACTCAAAATAGCGGCCCGAACGTTGGTTTTGGCCTGGTATACACACTGCTGTGGGCCCTGAATCCTTCCAGTGAGCGCAGAGTCGCCGAGCGCACAAGCCCACTTTTGCGTGGTTACCCGTCTATGCTGATGCTTGACGTTAAAGCTGTTATAGCAGGTGTGACACAAAGCCAAATAGTCCTCGAGACTATTTCAGCAGCAAGGCAGGGTCCCTACCCCTTCTGTAGGAATCACAGTTCCTTTGTAGAATGAGAACTTCCACCTGTGGATAGACACTTCCGTCGTGGCTGCAGCCATGCACCTTACTCATAACGCAAAGTAGGATGACAAGTGCTGGGCATAACGCAAAAGCTGATACCCAGCCAGAAATCAAGTGTACTACATGTACTGTATCACGGAAATCTACCTTACTCATAACGCAAAGTAGGATGACAAGTGCTGGGCATAACGCAAAAGCTGATACCCAGCCAGAAATCAAGTGTACTACATGTACCGTATCACGGAAATCTACCTTACTCATAACGCAAAGTAGGATGACAAGTGCTGGGCATAACGCAAAAGCTGATACCCAGCCAGAAATCAAGTGTACTACATGTACCGTATCACGGAAATCTTGACGACAACCGAACTACAAGTTAGATTACGGCTGCGGCTTCACTGGTTACTAACCTAACCAGTGGTTAGCAGGAGCCGCAGCACTACATGTATTAAAATAACGCGAAGTCGGCTTGCAATAGATACAGACAATCCCGTCGGTAGTCATGGCGTTGGGAAGTTCCCTCACCTAGGAATAAAAAGTGGGTTCCCAATGGGAACCCACTTTTTATTCCTAGGTGAGGGTATTCCTGTCGTAGGGTGTATCATGGGGTGGTACACCGTACTGTACCACATATATGATACGGATTGGTGTAGTCTTTTGGTTGCACAGCCCTTGGATGGAATTCGTGCAGACAACGGTATATACCTCGGTAGCACCGAAAAGGACAACGTATAGTTGATATAATACCGTAAGAGATGTGGGTCATGATGTAGGTAATGATACTGATATTAAAATAATTTGCCATGGTAGTATTGAGACCCATCTCGCGAATGTTGACAAGCACCCGAGCTCCATTCTATTCAAACGAACGGCACTAGCAGGTCTGAAAGCTGGCTCTGAAAGCTAATGTGATCGTTAAATAAGAAATGCGGCAAGAAAACATGAATAGGCCTGTTTAGTGCAGTGCACGAAAGTCCCCACAAATGCACTAAAGTACTTTAGTGCACGCGCTAATGTCCAGCATCAGTTGTGTGCAGGGGCGCCAAAAGTGCTCTAAAGTACTTTAGTGCATTTGTAGGGACTTTCGTGCACTGCACTAAACAGGTCTAAACATGAACAATAGGGGCTGGTGTCCTGGTTAGACTACTCCAGACATCCTGTCAAAA